GATTTTCCGTTAGTTTTGAAAGAATGCCGCGTCTGACGTTGGTTCAACGTTAATTCGATGAGCAAAACAATGTCAGATCAACGTTGTTTCTATGTCATATTTCCACGTTGATTCAATGTCAGTTTGCTATCTGGGATGGGATGTGGCGATGGCATAGTATTTTGATTTATCAATGTAATGACGAAACAAGTCTATTTATCTATTAGAGTTCGGCTACGTGACATTAAACTTGGCATTTTAAGGTAGAGTTTGTGTGAGCGCGCGCTTTGGAAATACGAAGTGGGCGTTGAGATAGTAGAGTGAGATTTACCTGAGTTTCGTGAGAGGAACAGAACAGGTACAGCGAGTTCACGCGCTTCCGGACGCACAGGTGAGAGAATCGCCGTCATGCGCGCGCGGATCAAACGAGGCTCTGTCGCGCTCTTCGCTTTCACGCTGAGATCGTGGACGTTTTTGGATTAACGATAATAACTTTAACAACAATTCCTCACGCCATTTTCTCAGGTGGGTTAAGTTTCTCTTTCAATCGGATCGGTGTGTTTTGAGAACAGCTCGTCTAACCGGCTGGCTCCGACATTCCGTGACTGACAGTCATCATCACAGGGAAATAAAGCTCATTTATCATCAGCCCTGTGTCATTAAAAATACGCTTATCTGCAGGTAATAGTAATCCTTACACTTGAAATCTCTTTTTGATAAACTAAGTAATTTGTAAAGAGTATCAAATTACACTTTGACATTAAGGGAATTGTTTTGACGTGCGTAAATGATGTTAATGTGATAGTGAGGTAAACTAGTGTTTATACTTTAACTTTTAATGTAAAGCTGCCTTTAGTTTTGTTGGTGCCTGAGTATAAATCTGCTAGGATCACTTCATAAAGTCAGTTGAGCTCTAAAATGGTCATACATAATTCATAGTTTTGATGACATTCTAAGATAAGAGTAACAAAAAAAACGAAGAAGCTATACAGGCTAATTGGTAGCTACACTGGTAGTGACCAAAATGGTTGTATTGTGTGGTACTTTTCAAGCTGTGTTCATCCAAAATGTAAATTCTGTAATTTCACTCATCTTTGTGTCATTCCCAAACACAATAAACGAGGAATCGTTGCCTACTGGCAAAAATGATTGGGCTCTGAGGCTTTCATAAGGATGCAAAAATACCATAACATAAAACTAATTTGTCTTATTCCAACCCTTCTGAACTGAAGTCAAAGGTGGTTTTGTTTGATCAACAGACAAAAGTTTGAGTCATTTACTAAAAGTCACATGGCTTTGGGATGCTGGGTTTTTGTGAACGTCCTTGTAATTGTAGGTCAGTGTTTTCCCAGACTAATAATTAACCTCGTCAGTCCACAGCCGAACAGTGGACCCTTTTTTACGCTATCTTCTCATCTGTTAATGTTTGAGTATTGATGTCACATCTCGCCTCTGTCCTCTACAGGTTCGAGTCTCCTTCCAAAATGAGTCACTATTAACCAGGTACTTTGCCTCTCGCATGCATACGGATGCTCACATCTCGTGTCATCTCTAAAACACACCCTTGGAACACAAAAAGTGCTATCTAAGTCTATAGATATTCTCAGTCTGTGTTTGTTTTTACATGTGCGAGTGTGGAGCATCATGAGTTCGGCGAGCGTGTCGGGCCTGTTCATGCCGGTGTTGTTCCTGCTGGTTTTGGCCGTGGTCCTGTTCTCATGCGTGCTTCGTAAAAGGAGGCAGGCGGAGGGATCGTACCAGCCCAGTGCAGAAGAGCAGAAACAAGCCAAGATCAACAGAGCCGAGAAACCCGGTCTCACTCTCCCACTGCCCAAAGAGGAGAGACTGATCTGAACACAACCCTCGAAAGATGCTCAAACCTAAACAGAGCTTCCACTGTAATGGACCAGACGCACATTTGTGGTGTCGAGGAACTTCTGAAATGGTGGTGGATATTTATTCAGTGTTTTTGACTGAGATGCGAGGATGCTTTCACTCCCTAATGCAATGTTGTAGTTGTTAAAGTATGCCTTCAAAGAGGTCGGGGTATCTGAAGACTAACCTAACCCTAAAGTAAAGATTTACCCAAAGTTAAGAAGTCAGATGATCTACATGGACGGCCAAACCAGTTTTTGTTTACTTTATTTGTCCTCGCTTTAAGTTTACACTCACCTGCATGTGAAGAAGACACCAGCTTTACCTCTAAAATAGATTAGCGTTACCGTATTTAAATGTCCACATGGGAATTTTGTTGCAGCTCTTTCAAATGTAGAGAGAAAACATGTATATTGCACTTTGCCAAATATTGTCTTATTATGTCTGCATTTTTGTAATGTATCAATACGTTACAAAACGATGAAGATAATGTGTACATGTGGTTGATTCATTAAAATGCATCTTTGGGTTAATAACCTCATCCTTGATTCCTTTATTCAGAGCATGTTATTCAGAGCTCGAGATTAACTTTTTTACTTGGCATTGGTGCGCAACCTTAAAAAGTTGGGAGCGCCGCCAGCAAAAATGTAGGAGTACCCACCAAATTTGACGTTTGGCTCTGCCAGTATAGCGGAACGACCTGGCGATTAAAGGCCTTCGTAATCAAACCTGATTTGTTTGCCACACTCTTGCCCCTACATTTTTTTGTTGTGCTTTGCACTCTCTCCATGTTTAACCAAGCTCTCGCGCTTAAAATCTATTGATTCAGTTGCGAACGCTGTGTTACCTGCAAAACTCTGTCCCACAGGCTCTACAGTGAACCATAAGCATAGCGGAAATCTATGAAAGCTGTATATCAGCTGGTGGATCTACATTAAAGGTACAATATGCAGGATTTTTGCAGTAAAATATCCAAAAACCACTAGGCCAATGTTATATATTTTGTTTAGTTGATTACTTACAATATCCCGAATGTTTCCAGCTATTTGTAAATCGTGAGAACATTGCGATTTTAACGAAGGAAACGGGCGTGTGAGCAGGGGTGAGGAGTCGCACGTCAATGACGTCATATCCGCGTTACCCCCGGTTTCCGCCAGGTTTGACCTCATACACAATGGTAACCATGGCGACAGACGTGGACAACTGGGTCGGTTATGCCCGTTATGCAAGCTCAACAGCGTGAGCATCACTTGCAGGGTTTTGTTCAAACATTATGGACCATGGCAAGCGGACTTTGAGACAAAAAGAGGACTAGAACGAAGATCAACATCAAGCTCCACGTCCGCGACTAACTTCCACTTGACAGTAGGGCTGTGTATTGGCAAGAATCTGGCGATACGATACGTATCACGATTAAATATATTGCAATATATTCCGATACTGTCTATAAGGCGATATATTGGGATTTTTAGGACTATAATTTTAGAAAACAGTAATATTTAAAAAAAAAAAAAAATGACGTGAATTAAAGTCAAACAATTTTACTGAAACAATTCAGTACTCAGAAAATCAAACTACTAGTTTGGGATTGTGGTTCACAGGTTCATTACAAAAACTTTGGTTAAATGTGTTTTTAGAAGCTGGTCATAAACTTTAGGGGGTCGCACACTGGACAAGCGCAGCGCCGCGCCATAGGAAAACTAGGTATCACACACCAGACGCGCACTTTCTCATCAGTGTTTGGCCAGCAATATTGCTATGTTTAATGACATGAAATGAAGATAATGTCTGTTCTATGTTATGATTGTACTGTACAATTAAATACAATCGTTGCTGAGTCTGCATTCTGAAAACTTTACCTCAGAGCATCCGTTCACTGAATGAATTGAGAATCTCACCTGAAAAATCCAATAACATCAGCAATTGTCATTCAAGCAGCAACAATTTGAGACAAAAATAATTTAAATTTTATATAAAACTATGTAAATGGCGCTCTGTGGCGCAGCACACTTCCAAACGGAATAGAGCGGGAGTCGGTCTTTACACGGGGTTCAGCCATAGCTATGTTGTTTCTAGCAAAACGTTAGGCTAGTGGTGCGTCAATGCAAAAAAAAAAAAAATAAAAAAAAAATCGATATTTCATTTCTAGTATTGCAAAACAAAATATCGCGACACTCAAGTGTATCGATTTTTTCTTACACCCCTACTTGACAGAGACGCGAGTGTTGCATGTTACTTGAACAAACAGGTGAGCGAATCAAAGTATATAAAAAAAATCAATGTTATATAGTTCAACATTTTTTCTCTAATGTTAATCTAGCTTAGTCTCATACAGCCGACACACAACATAACTAACAACATTCAACACAATCAAATGCCGTTTAGTGTGATAGTGAAACTGTTAGAGCGAGTGTTACCTCAAGTTTAATTCCTCTAATAAACTGACCTGTGTGAGTAGTTCAGCGTGTAGTTCGGTCGCATGAAATGTCCTTATTCCTTTATATCCGCGGGACTCGCGTTACGTGTGGCGCTGGTATACGTCTAGCAATCGCGCCCTGCTTCACACCACAGTCATGTTAAAAACATTAATGTACTCACTCATCCATAAAAGATCCATCAACTTGACGACAAGATCCATGATTCCGCTTAATGCGGACTATACCTCATTAATATACGCCTTTGTTATATTAAGAGGTTAGCGACCCCTGGTGGCGAAACAATCTTGCATATTGTACCTTTAACCACGCTTACAAAAGAAATCTGTCTCTCCTATTCACCCTTTTAAATTTAGCGCGGTAGTCATCTCCCTGTCACGTGACTACAGTGAAAGGGAGTGGGAGTGATTGACAGCTAATATTAACCAATCTAAAACCTGCTTTAAAGTTAAGAGGGTAAGGATGAAGTTTGATTGATGTAACGTTGGACAGAATGATGGTCTGGACATCGTGTATCAGCGCAACTTGCAAACTATTATTTGCACTCGCACAAATGCTTACTAATATATTTTTGAGGTCGCAGATTAAATTTCAGGAGCATATGCGACTAAAATGGCCACAATTTCAAGCCTGGTCATTTGAGATGCCATGTGGAGCGTTTCTGTCAATGTTTGCTCTCTGATAAGCCTTTTATAAATGATTAAAGATATCTGGATGAAAGGGTTAGACTTGCTTTATTTATCAGAATTGATGACATTAGTTACTTTTTCAAAGTTAATAATTAAAAGTCTCTAAATTGACCCATTTTAATGTCTGTTTCTGGTCGATTCATGCGTTTACATTATTCCAAAGGAGGAAAAAGTCCTTCGCCAAAATGTACAAACCCAGTGCATACGATCAATTTGATCTTGTTTGACTCAGACTGTCTTTTCATGTTGACTCGAGTATGTTTTTATAATGGTTTACTCTTGATTTATGATGCTCTAATGTTCGAATCTCTTCTTCAGCTCAGAGACCTTAACGGGAGCCGCCGGGTCTTCATCTTCTGGAGTCGATGTAACGGGTGATTTTGTACTTCGTTCATCACCTGTTTTTGACCCCACGTTGATTTTGAAGGTTCTGATGGGAGTTTTCGTGGAGATTTCCCTTCTTTGGGAAGCAGAAGACTCAGTCAAAGACTTAGACCGTAACAGAGCAATGGTAGACGAGACTTTCAGTGAAGAGACTTTCTCCTCGGGCTCTTCTTTGTCTATCTCTACGTTGAGGGCAAGTCCTCCGTTTGCAGGTCCATTTGACCCCGAGTCATTGGTCTCCTTGAGCTCTTTCTGATGTCCCTCTTCTTTGTCAGGTTGTGTCTCTGTCCTCTCTTCAACTATTGTCTCGGTATCCAAGCTTTCCTCCATTGTCTCTGTCCTCTCTTCAACTATTGTCTCGGTATCCAAGCTTTCCTCCATTGTTCCATTCATTTGTCCATCTTTTTGCGAACATTGATCCTCTTGAGAAACCACTTCAGGAACCAGAGAAGCATCTTCTAAACTTAGTAGATCTGAACACAGACTTTCCCCTAACACCTTTGAGTCCTTCTCTAATACGTTACGCTCATTTTCCGGCCTGTCAATCATGGCTTCAGACTCCTCCCTCTCGTCGCCAGGCTCCTCCTCCTCCTCCCAGCTCATTAGACTTCCGCTGTTTCCAAAAGACTGGCTCAGACTCTCCTGACTTGGTGTGGTGTAACTCTTCTGAAAGAGAAATTAAATGGTAAGAGTTTGTGCTTTTCCACCGACAGGTTCCCGATGTTAGAGCGTTCGACTATTTCACGTTTTCAAGAAACAGCAGTCGGGTAACATATAATTTAATTTGAGAAGCATTTCTTGTTTGTGTTGTCTTCACGCTGCAAAGCCACGTTGGTTTACCCGTTCATCTTATGTTTTAAATGATTACTATGCATTTTAGTCGCTAAATATTTAACCCTTTATGGTATGGTGTAACCATATTGTTTTCCTTCACTTTTTTAACTTTCAGAAAAACTACAACATAATGCATTGTTGGAAATAAAGTAACCAGTAATATGCTGTTACTTTGAGATGAAATTAGCTATTATGATTTTTACATTTATTAATTTATTTGAAAGTGTTTACCAAATAAATAAATAATTATATATATATATATATAATTATTTATTTATTTTCCTAAAAAAATATAAATTTTATATATATATACATTATTAGCTATTATGATTATTACATTTATTAATTTATTTGAAAGTGTTTACCAAATAAATAAATAATTATATATATATATATATATATATATATATATATATATATTTATTTATATATATATATATATATATATATATATATATATTATATATATATTTATATATATATATATATATATATATATATATATATATATATATATATATATATATATATATATATATATATATATATATATATATATATATAATTTAGGGCTGTGCAAAAGTTAATTGCGATTAATCGCATCCAAAATAAAAGTCTGCTTTACATAATATATTTGAGTGTGCTGTATATAATTATTTTGTATATATAAATACCTATGCATGCATGTATATATTTAAGAATTATTTGCGCTTAAATTCTGTATATATATATATATATATATATATAAATACATAATCTATATTATATAAATATAAATATTTTATATAGGAATAACACATTTTCTTAAACATATACATGCATGTGTGTGTATTTATATATACAAAATAATTATATACAGCACACACAAATATACTATGTAAACACAGACTTTTATTTTGGATGCGATTAATCGCAATTAACTTTTGCACAGCCCTAATATAATTATTTATTTATTTTCCTAAAAAAATATATAAATTTTATATATATATATTATTTATTAATTTTTATTATATATATATATATAAATAAAGATAAATATTTATATAAATAAAGATAAATATATATATATATATATACGTATATATATATATATATATATATATTTTATTTTTTTTAGGAACAGATGATGGTGGTCTACTCAATTTGAGTTTTTTTGGAGATCAAAGTCTGAAAATGCTTCAATTAAAACTAAAGAAATGTTAAATCAAGCAAAAATAAATAATTTAAAAAAAAAGCCAAAACATTTTCCATTGTACAGTCATATGCTATATGACAACAATTCCCAAATTAATTTGCATATTTTGTTATTAGAGCTATTTTATTCCATAAATCCCGTAGGGAAAATATTCCACTGTCAGAGCATATGATGCATAACATATAGGGTTAAACACCTTCTGACTATCTATAGGACAGATGCCTCGTCCAGCACCGTTTACCGTGATTGTGTGAGACGAGTGAGAGGATCCAGGCCTTACGTGTGTGATGAAGTCGCTGCTGTCGGAGCTGAAGAGGTCGAGGCTGCGTGTGCCGTACAGTAAACCCGGCTCTCTGGAGCTCTGAGCGCTCAGGGTGTCGAAGATCTCCCCGAGCAGGTCCATCTCCTCCGGGTCAGCCAGGAGGGACAGCTCATCCTCGTCCTGTAAGTCGCTGGTGCCAGAACACTCCGCACTTTCTGTTACGCTGCAAAGGGAGAATTTTTTAAAAGGGATAGTTCACCCAAAAATGAAGATTAGCCCCTGATTTACTCACCCCCAAGCCATCCTAGGTGTATATATCATTATTCTTTCAGACGAATACAATCAGAGATGTATTAAACAAGGACAGGAAAGGTTCAGTAGACTTTTTGCATTAAATGAATGGTTAATGTCATTGTGTAATGAACAGGGGCTGCACTTTGTAAATAACTGGCATCTGTTTTGGGAAAGACCGAGGCTGTACAGCACAGATGGTCTCCATCCCAGCCGAATCGGAGCGGCTGTGCTGTCGGACAACATCTCCAAGACATTACGCACCAGATGACTAATGAGTCAAAGTCCAAATTACAGCCTTTGCGGTCCAAACTTAACTAATAAGCATAGTGTGGAACATTATATAGAAACTGTGTCTATTCCTCGTTTAGTGAAGCCAAACAATAAATCTAGTGTAGGATCTAGCAAAAATCTTATTGTAATTAAACCAGAAAATCTAAATATCAGTCAACAGAAACAATTTCTAAAGCTAGGTCTCCTAAACATTAGATCGCTCACACCTAAGGCGGTTATCATAAATGAAATGGTCACAGACAATAACTTCGATGTTCTGTGCCTTACTGAAACCTGGCTTAAACCAAATGAGTATTTCGGTCTAAACGAATCTACTCCGCCAGGATACTGTTATAAACATGAGCCTCGTCTGATCGGTCGTGGCGGCGGTGTTGCAACAATCTATAAAGATATTTTTAATATTACTCAGAAAACAGGTCACAGGTTTAATTCATTTGAAGTACTTGTGCTAAATGTTACGCTCTTAGATGTAAGAAGGAAATCTATATTATCTCTAGCCCTGGCTACTGTATATAGACCTCCAGGGCCATATGCTGAATTCCTAAAAGAGTTCGCAGACTTTCTCTCGGATCTATTGGTAAATGTCGATAAAGCAATAATTGCTGGAGATTTTAACATACACGTAGATAATACAAATGATGCTTTAGGGGCTGCGTTTACAGATTTATTAAACTCCTTTGGGGTCAAACAAAACGTCAGTGGTCCCACTCATCGTCTAAATCATACACTAGATTTAATTATATCATATGGAACCGATCCAACTGATATAGATATTATACCGCAAAGCGATGATGTCACTGATCATTACATGGTGACTTGCATAATACGTACTGCTGAAATATGTCATGTTGCGCCACGTTATAGACCAGGCAGAACAATCCTTCCAACCACTATAGATGGATTTTCAAATAGCTTACCTGATCTATCTAAGCTGCTAAGTGAACCCAAACAAACAGATGAATTAGAGGAAATGACTAGCAGTTTAAGCACCATTCTTACTAGTACATTAGATATTGTTGCGCCAATTAGATTAAAAAAGGTTCGAGAGAAAATTAAAACACCATGGTACAACAGTGCTACGCATGCTATCAAGAGAGAAACTCGCAACTTAGAGCGTAAATGGAAACAAACTAATTTAGAGGTCTTTAGAATCGCGTGGAAAGACAGTATGTCACGTTATAAAAAGACACTAAAAACAGCCAGGGCTGAGCATCTCCGCAAACTAATCGAAAATAACCAAAATAATCCAAGGTTTTTATTTAACACCGTGGCTAGACTAACAAATAAACAGACATCACCAGAGCAAAATATACCTTTACAGTTTAGTAGTAATGATTTTATGAATTACTTCAACGCGAAAATAGAAAGCATCCGAAACAAAATTATAAATGTACAATCCGCTATGGTGTCTTATGATTCAGCTTCAATTATGGACCCTCTAGAACAACTAAACCGCTTTACAACGATAGGACAGGAGGAGCTAAATAAACTTATCATTGCATCTAAACCAACAACTTGTTTATTAGATCCAATACCCACTAAACTACTGAAAGAACTATTACCTGTAGTGGAAGAGCCTCTCCTCAATATTATTAACTCGTCTTTAACTTTAGGTCATGTCCCAAAAATATACAAGCTGGCTGTAATAAAACCGCTAATTAAGAAACCGCAATTAGATCCAAATAACTTGGCAAATTACAGACCCATTTCAAATCTTCCATTTATGTCCAAAATACTTGAAAAAGTAGTGTCCGCTCAATTGTGCTCTTTTTTGCAAGAAAATGATATCTATGAAAAATTCCAGTCAGGATTCAGAGCGCATCATAGTACAGAAACTGCGCTAGTTAAAATTACAAATGATTTACTTTTAGCTTCTGACCAAGGCTGTATCTCAATACTAGTCCTACTTGATCTTAGCGCTGCGTTCGACACTATAGATCATAAAATACTCTTGGATCGACTACAAAACTTCACCGGTGTTCAGGGACAGGCATTAAGCTGGTTTAGATCGTACTTATCGGACCGTTCTCATTTTGTCTGTTTAAATGGGAAAAAATCAAAGATAACGTCAGTAGACTATGGAGTACCGCAAGGATCGGTTTTAGGCCCTCTGCTATTCTCAATATATATGCTGCCACTTGGTAATATTATAAGAAAACATGGAATTAATTTCCACTGTTACGCTGACGACACTCAATTATATATTTCATCACGACCAGATGAAAACACTAACTCATCTAAAATGACAGAGTGTCTCAAAGATATAAAATGCTGGATGACGCGTAATTTCCTGCTATTAAATTCAGATAAAACGGAGGTATTACTTATTGGTCCAAAAAACTACTCACAAAACCTCTCACAATACAACTTTAATATAGACGGATGTCCTGTTACTTTATCCACAACAGTAAAAGACCTGGGTGTTATACTAGACCGCAACTTGTCTTTCGAAAATCATATTTCATATGTTACAAGAACAGCCTTTTTCCACCTTAGAAACATTGCTAAGCTACGTAACATGCTATCTATTTCTGATGCAGAAAAATTAGTTCACGCATTCATGACCTCGAGACTAGATTACTGTAATGCTTTATTAGCTGGTTGTCCTGCATCCTCAATAAACAAGCTACAGTTAGTACAAAATGCAGCTGCTAGAGTTCTTACTAGGTCAAGGAAATATGATCATATAACACCGATTTTATCATCTCTACACTGGTTACCTATTAAGTTCCGCATCAACTACAAAATACTACTACTGACCTATAAAGCCCTAAATGGTTTAGCACCTATGTACTTAACGGACCTTCTTTCGCCCTACAATCCACCGCGTTCCTTAAGATCACTAAATTCAAGGCTTCTGGTCATTCCTAGGATATCGAAGTCCAGTAAAGGAGGGAGGGCGTTCTCGCATTTAGCTCCAAAACTCTGGAATGGCCTTCCCGATACGGTCCGAGCCTCTGACTCGCTGACACAGTTCAAAACTAGATTAAAGACGCATCTCTTTAGTCAAGCATTCACATAATGCTTACCTTCTAGTCCTCTGTTATGCCATACGGAACCGTTTGCCACTGAAACTGCTTAACGCACCAGTGGGGCTCGACAGCCTTTTAGACAAACGGGTCGGCGCGTATGGTTGGGTTGCGGAGAGTTCGGGTTACGGAGAGTTTGTGAGTTATAACGGAAATTATTATGAACATCAGCTATGCTAATTATTTCCCATCTGCCTTTCTGCTGTTATCTCGGGACGCTTGTCCCGAGAAAAATGGCGTTCGTCAGGTCCAGTTTTGTGTCCAGCCTCTCACGGGGATTTCGGATGCCCCAACGCCTGTGATGAGAAGACTCAACGCCTGTGAAGAGACGACTCAACGCCTGCGATATGTTATGGCGCCGTTTGATTCATAAACAATATTTATATTTAATATTTATATTTAAACAATATGAATGTAAGCCAGAGGAGAACTGGCCCCCGACTGAGCCTGGGTTCTCCCAAGGTTTTTTCTCCATCCAATCTGATGGAGTTTGGTTCCTTGCCACTGTCGCCTTGCTTTTGGCTTGCTTTGAGCTTGCTCAGTTGGGGTTATTTATTTAGTGTTTAGCAATGTTGTTGATCTGTGTTGTGCTACTTACATGTTATCACTGTGAAGCTGCTTTGATACAATCTGTATTGTGAAAAGCGCTATATAAATAAATGTGACTTGACTTGACTTAAACATGTCCTGGCTCTTCCATGGATTATAATGGCAGTGAATGGTTGTTTCTGTTTTGAAGTGCATAAAAGTGCAACCCAAAGGCAGTGTCTGTGTACCGGTAGTTGCTAATGCAGTGATAGTTACATTAGGGTTTACACAAGGCCAGGCTTTATTAACCCCCCAGAGCCACGTGGAGCACTTTTATCATGGACAGATGCACTTAAAAGGCCTTTTAAGAAACTGAAAACACAAACAGCCATTCACTGTCATTATAAAGCTTAGAAGAGAACAGACATTTATATATATATATATACTCTGATTGTATTCGTCTGAAAGAAGAATGCCATTTACACTAGGTTGACTTGAGGGTGAGTAAATCATGGGCTATTTTTGATTTGTTGGGTGAACTATCCCTTTGAACGGCAAAGCTTCCATGCATGTGTTTCCTCTCCTCTCACCTGTCCTCATAGGTGTCGTCGTCCTCTGTGTGTTCCTCTGTGTCCTGCTTGCTGTGGCGTTTGCGAGCCGGCCGTCGAGGTCGAGACTGAAAAACAACAGGGTGGGAAAACAGTATATTAGACAGTAAAGTGCATGTGCTGTACTGTGGATGAACACAAGGTGGAGCCAAACTGCTGCAGTTTTCACACTCGGGTGAATTAAAGGACATTTGAAATGGATATTTCCCATGTTTGATGCAATAAAATATAAAAAAAAATATGCATTGATTTTTATATAATATTATGGAAGCTTGTTTCTGCCACTGAATAAAAAAAATAGAAAAAATAATTGCGACTTTTTATCTCACTATTGCGAGATATTAAGTTAGAATTGTGAGAATTAAAGTCGCAATTGCGAGATATGAAGTCGCAATTCTGAGAAAAAGACTTTTTATCTCACCATTGTGAGTTCTGACTATAACACATAATTGCGAGTTTATATCTCAAAATTCAGACACTTTTCTTAGAATTGTGAGATATAAACTCGCAATTGCCAATTCTAAGAATAGTTTATATCTCGCAATTCTGACTTTATATCACGCAATTCTGACTTTATATCTCGCAATTCTGACTTTCTATCTCGCAATTCTGACTTTATATCTCGCAATTCTGACTTTCTATCTCGCAATTCTGACTTTATATCTCGCAATTCTTTTTTGTGATCAACATTTTTATTGTTTTCTTGGGGGGGGGGGGGGGGGTTACAGACATCTCCAGTATCATATGTGACTATATAATGAGAAAGGAAAAAAGAATAAGAAAAAGAAAACATCAAAACATCACAATGGTAGTGAATAGATGAGTGAGACAATACATATAATAAGACAATACATAAAACAACAGAAATATGTTTGGCAGGTACAGTTCACATCAAAGATTGCCTAGCTGTTGTCCCTGGACCAAGAAATAATCCTAGATGAGAAAGAGTTCCAAGCTTGTACAGTCGCTGGTTGCGCCTTATTGAGTCGTGCAGTTGTATGTTCAAGATTGACAATGTTGACAAGGCTATGGATCCAGAATGATTCCATACACATATCCGGAAAGAACCAGTTTTTCAAAATTGTTTTCTTTGCAGAGGTAAACCCTGCGAACAACATTTTTAACTGAATTTGCTTTAGATTTATATCAGAATTATCATTAAGAAGACAGAAACCAGGATTCGGAACATAGAAAATGTCAAGTATATCCGCTAAAGATGAATTTACATGTAACCAGAAGTTAGAAATAACTGGACACTCCCAAAACATGTGTAAAAACGTTCCAGGTGAAGCAGTGTTACATATATGACAGTTGTGAGTAGGTTGTAATTTCATCTGGAATCTCCTATAAGGTGTAATGTAGGCTCTATGTATTGTTTTGAAGTGTATTAGTTGGTGCGCTAGGTTCTTAGAAGTTAGACTTAGGTTATACCATATTCTTTCCCAATCTAGGTTTACATTTAAACTCCCCAACTCCCTGTTCCATGTGGATTCAATTGGTAAAGTTTTGGCCCTATGCTGAATCAGTGCACTATATATTAAAGAGACAGAAGGTCTGCCCAGTAATGGCGCAATCCATTGTAACATGGGATGTGAGGGGAGAGGTATATCTCGCAATTCTGACTTTATATCTCGCAATTCTGACTTTATATCTCGCAATTCTGACTTTATATCTCGCAATTCTGACTTTATATCTCGCAATTCTGACTTTATATCTCGCAATTCTGACTTTATATCTCGCAATTCTGACTTTATATCTCGCAATTCTGACTTTATATCTCACAATTCTGACTTTATATCTCGCAATTCTGACTTTATATCTCGCAATTCTGACTTTCTATCTCGCAATTCTGACTTTATATCTCGCAATTCTGACTTTATATCTCAATTCTGACTTTATATCTCGCAATTCTGACTTTATATCTCGCAATTCTGACTTTATATCTCGCAATTCTGACTTTATATCTCGCAATTCTGACTTTATATCTCGCAATTCTGACTTTATATCTCGCAATTCTGACTTTATATCTCGCAATTCTGACTTTATATCTCGCAATTCTGACTTTATATCTCGCAATTCTGACTTTCTATCTCGCAATTCTGACTTTATATCTCAATTCTGACTTTATATCTCGCAATTCTGACTTTATATCTCGCAATTCTGACTTTATATCTCGCAATTCTGACTTTATATCTCGCAATTCTGACTTTATATCTCGCAATTCTGACTTTATATCTCGCAATTCTGACTTTATATCTCGCAATTCTGACTTTATATCTCGCAATTCTGACTTTATATCTCGCAATTCTGACTTTATATCTCAATTCTGACTTTATATCTCGCAATTCTGACTTTATATCTCGCAATTCTGACTTTATATCTCGCAATTCTGACTTTATATCTCGCAATTCTGACTTTATATCTCGCAATTCTGACTTTATATCTCAATTCTGACTTTATATCTCCCAATTCTGACTTTATATCTCGCAATTCTGACTTTATATCTCAATTCTGACTTTATATCTCGCAATTCTGACTTTATATCTCGCAATTCTGACTTTATATCTCGCAATTCTGACTTTATATCTCGCAATTCTGACTTTATATCTCGCAATTCTGACTTTATATCTCGCAATTCTGACTTTATATCTCGCAATTCTGACTTTATATCTCGCAATTCTGACTTTATATCTCGCAATTCTGACTTTATATCTCGCAATTCTGACTTTATATCTCGCAATTCTGACTTTATATCTCGCAATTCTGACTTTATATCTCAATTCTGACTTTATATCTCGCAATTCTGACTTTATATCTCGCAATTCTGACTTTATATCTCGCAATTCTGACTTTATATCTCGCAATTCTGACTTTCTATCTCGCAATTCTGACTTTTTATCTCGCAATTCTGACTTTATATCTCGCAATTCTGACTTTATATCTCACAATTCTGACTTTATATCTCGTAATTCTGACTTTATCTCGTAATTCTGACTTTATATCTCGCAATTCTGACTTTATATCTCGCAATTCTGACTTTATATCTCGCAATTCTGAGAAAAAAAGTCGCAATTACCTTTTTTATTTTTCATTAAGTGGCAAAAACAAGCTTCCATATAATATTAATGTATGTAGGCGTGTGCTTTCAGGTGTCACTCACCCTGCCAAAGTGCTCTGTGATTGGTAGGCGGTTCTGAAGGCAATCTGATTGGATGAGACGATACGTGTGCGTTCCACACACAGACCCGCCCCGCTGCAGCATGCTGGATTCTGTCTGATCCTGAGAGGGAAAATCCAAAGGCCCGTCGTAAACTAACTTGCTTATTTGGTGCACAAAGAGGAACCGCATGCAATTTACAGAAAATAAACTCACCTTGGACGACAGGAGGTTTTTCAGCCCAAATTTGCTTTGATATTTGCTCTGAGTGAGACATTAGCAGATTTACGTCATATATGGAAACTTTATTGATCATGCACAACAGCACATTATAAATCAATATTATGGAAATATGAGTTGCATTACCCTTCAAAAGTTTGGGGTCAGTACATTTGATTTGTTTGAAAGAAATTATTTCATTCACCAAGGATGCATTAAATTGATAGAAAGTGACAGGACAGACATTTAAAATGTTACAGAAGATTCCTATATTAATTAAATAATCCTATTCATAAAATAATCCTCTATATCAGTTTCCACAAGAATATGCAGCACAACAGTAATAAATGTTTAATGATCATCAAATTTCTAATGATGCTGAAAATGCAGCTTTGATCACAGGAATTAATTACAATTTAACATATATTCACATAGAAAACAGATATTTTATATTGTAATAATATTTCAGAATAATATGGTTTTTACTGCATTTTTCATCAAATAAATGAAGCCGTGGTGAGAATGAGACTTTCAAAAACATTACAAATCTTACCAACCCCAAACCTTTGAATAGTAGTGTAGATGCACTATTTACTCACTGCTTTGTTCGCTGTAGACTTCCACGTCACGATCAAGGCTCCTCCCCCTTTCTGTAAAGAGAGATTTATTTATTTTCTAAATCCAATTTTGTGTAAAAGCAGCGTTTGACAGTTCATTCTTCTTGTACCATATCATTATTTTATCATGAGTATATTCTGTGCACACTGAAAACTCCCCGAGCGTGCCTTGTACACACACTGCAGATCTAGTAAGAGTATGGTAGTCTTGTTAGTTTCTGTCTGAGTAAAACGTACCTTTATATTCCCCACCCACTGCCGACGCAGTTTGGAGGCGCCTGAGGGGAATGGGGAGCAGATGGATGTTAAAACCAGCACTCAGATAATAAACGAGCCTGAATCTGTGATGGATGAACACACACACCTGACGAAGCTCCGCACTGAAGCACCTCTTCCTCAAACGCATCCTCCGGCTCTTTGCCCTGGTTCAGCATTTCCAGCCGGCCGTCAATAAACTGAGAACAACATGAGATCGTAATGGAAGATAATATTGCAGTTGTGTCGTTGGTTACACATTGAAGTCTGTTTTAATATATTTTATAAGCTGGCCCTCCATTGTAAAGTTAGAATATGGTGATGTCAAGCTATTGTATGACTTCAGAAAACTTTAAATTAGGGCTGTCAAACGATTAATCGCATCCAAAATAAAAGTTTGTGTTTACATAATATATGTGGGTGCACTGTGTATAATTATTATATATATATATATATATATATATATATATACATACACACACACACGCTTGTATATAATTAAGAAATATTTTCATGTATATATACTGTATATAGATTTATATATAGTTTATATTATATATATAAATATTTTATATATAAATAAATAAAAAATCTTAAATATACATGCATGTGTGTGTATTTATATATATATATATATATATATATATATATATATATATATATATATATGCACAATAATTATACACCGTGCACCCACATATACTATGTAAACACAAACTTTTATTTTGGATGCGATTAATCGTTTGACAGCCCTAACTTAATATAACTTTTGGCTACATTTTTTAAGGGTTCATGGTGCTCTTTTTGCAGCTCAACACAAAAGAGCAGCTTGAACAATCTTTAAAACTTGAAAGAAAGAAAGTGTTTTGGATCGGTATAAGGGTGACTAAATCACTCTTGGTTGAATTATTCCTTTTACTGCATTTTAACTAATTGATATCACCATACTTTCCCAGATTTACCAGGTTATTTCTTCTTTTTCTGTTCTGCCCTGATTGGTCAGATGGTCCAGTCTGTTGTGATTGGTCTACTCTGCCCTGATTGGTCAGATGGTCCAGTCTGTTGTGATTGGTCTACTCTGCCCTGATTGGTCAGATGGTCCAGTCTGTTGTGATTGGTCTACTCTGCTCTGATTGGTCAGATGGTCCAGTCTGTTGTGATTGGTCTACTCTGCCCTGATTGGTCAGATGGTCCAGTCTGTTGTGATTGGTCTACTCTGCCCTGATTGGTCAGATGGTCCAGTCTGTTGTGATTGGTCTACTCTGCCCTGATTGGTCAGATGGTCCAGTCTGTTGTGATTGGTCTACTCTGCTCTGATTGGTCAGATGGCCCAGTCTGTTGTGATTGGTCTACTCTGCTCTGATTGGTCAAGTGACCCAGTCTGTTGTGATTGGTCTACTCTGCTCTGATTGGTCAGATGGTCCAGTCTGTTGTGATTGGTCTACTCTGCCCTGATTGGTCAGATGGTCCAGTCTGTTGTGATTGGTCTACTCTGCTCTGATTGGTCAGATGGCCCAGAGTGTTGTGATTGGTCTACTCTGCTCTGATTGGTCAGATGGCCCAGAGTGTTGTGATTGGTCTACTCTGCTCTGATTGGTCAGATGGCCCAGGCTGTTGTGATTGGTCTACTCTGCTCTGATTGGTCAGATGGCCCAGTCTGTTGTGATTGGTCTACTCTGCTCTGATTGGTCAGATGGCCCAGGCTGTTGTGATTGGTCTACTCTGCTCTGATTGGTCAGATGGCCCAGGCTGTTGTGATTGGTCTACTCTGCTCTGATTGGTCAGCTGGCCCAGTCTGTTGTGATTGGTCTACTCTGCTCTGATTGGTCAGATGGCCCAGGCTGTTGTGATTGGTCTACTCTGCTCTGATTGGTCAGATGGCCCAGCCTGTTATGATTGGTCTACTCTGCTCTGATTGGTCAGATGGTCCAGTCTGTTGTGATTGGTCTGCTCTGCTCTGATTGGTCAGATGGCCCAGTCTGTTATGATTGGTCTACTCTGCTCTGATTGGTCAGATGGCCCAGAGTGTTGTGATTGGTCTACTCTGCTCTGATTGGTCAGATGGCGCAGTCTGTTATGATTGGTCTACTCTGCTCTGATTGGTCAGATGGCCCAGTCTGTTATGATTGGTCTACTCTGCTCTGATTGGTCAGATGGTCCAGTCTGTTGTGATTGGTCTACTCTGATTGGTCAGATGGCCCAGTCTGTTGTGATTGGTCACCTTCGTTGATTCACCTTTTTGAAGTTTACATGGAGATGATGACGTTTTTCAGCTTGTAACCTATTTCAAAGTTCGAGCCACCAAACACAGTTGTCGTGCAAATGAATGGCTGTAAAGTGTCTCTGTAATTTCACTGTAAAGTGGCCTAGAAACGATCTATATTGTTAAAAGTGCTATATAAATGGTGGATGTGTGAGTTTGCAGTTACCTCTTTGAAACACTGCAGGTGAACCGCGCTCTCCAAAAACTCCCGCATGCTTTGAGACTTATGACTCAGAAACGACTCGTTGCAGAACACAACTGGCCCTTCCTACAAAGTAAGAGGGAGGAACATTAAAGAGAGAGTTTATAAACCTGATGCTGATGTTCATGTACACGAGCGTCACTCACGTCCGTCGGCTGCAAGGCATCTCTGTATCCGCCGAACAGCAGAGCCTGCGCGCGAAGGAACGCGTGCGCGACCCCTGACCCCGCCGACGCCGCCTGTTTCTTCAGCCTGACCTTCAGTCCCGCCACCTGCAGAAACAGTGTTTGCCGTAAAGCTTCAGCCGCTGCGTGTCAGAGGCCCGCGAGGACCAGCAAACGAGTCTCACCACGTCGGCCGGGATCTTCTTCAGGTCCTCGTGGGGCGACTCCAGCGTGTTGGTGTCAACGTTTAGTATGACCACGTCCTCCAGAGCTCGACTCTTGACTCTCTGTCGCACCAAAACACACATAAGGAACTGTAATGTGAGTGTTTATGCGACAAACTGTGAGAGAAGACGACGAATGAGGGAATCGTCGTACCTCCGCCAGGCTGGAGTGGATCCCAATGAGGTACGGCATCGGTGCGCTGGAAAACGAAGGTCAGGTGGAATGAGGTGGTGTTAATTCGCTATTTTACACGTAAAAAGCCCCATTTCTGATGAACTATAACGGTTAAGATTGAAATTTGGACATTGTTGAATTGTTTTCGCTGCAAAAGATGCTTTCGTCGTAGTTTTTGTTCCAAGTCATTTCAACAGAGTCTAGAGCCAGACCGATATTATCGGCCGATATTAGTCATTTTCTAAAATATCGGTATCGGCAGTTATGATGGCCGCTAAATGAATATTTCAAAAATAAAATAAAAACGGACGAATCACGCTTCAATCATGTCATGAGTGTTGGAGTTGTATAGCTTGTCCACCAGAGGGCGCTCTACACCGTCCCTGTTGGCAACACTCGTGTATAACGCGCCACACATCCTGAACATTTAGACATAGAGAAAAAGTATCAACGTATTTTGTGCATAAAAGTTAGCTTTTCTTTTACACGTGTGTGAAATCCAACGACGCCAAGTGTGTGTTGCAGACCGTCGTTCTGTAACGGATTTAGATTAGAATCGCTAAATAGTCGCAGCAACTGATGATAGAAAATGGTTTGATGTAGCTTGATGGAAAGAATTTAAAAAGTGCAGGTAAAGGGATAAGCAAGCTGACATTGTAATTATAAGGTAGCTTATAAGGCAAAGTAGGGACTAATTATTATTTTATTTATCAGAACTTTAATATATTTTGATGTTCCTCTGTTCTGTTGTGACAATAGAAACAAGTTTCTTCATTTTATTTTAGTTAAAACTCATAAATAACTAATGTTAGGGAAATCTGTTAATGTTGTGTTGCGCGTTTCTGAAATAAAAAATAATAATAATATCGGCCGATATATCGGATTTTTAAACCAACAAATATTTGTATCGGTATCGGCCTTCAAAATCCTTTATCGGTCGGGCTCTAAAAGAGACAGACGAAAACCCACGATAAAACCTGTTGGAAAGCATATTTTGCAGCAATTTTTTGTGTGAGCTTATCAGTGAACACCCCAGACCACTCGGTGAGTTTCACGTGTTTGTAAACTAAAACCAGAAGAAACCGAAACCGGTTGAGAAACCGAAAATTCTCGGGACAGCAGCATTTGTCCAAATTTCAAAGTGTGTGTGTGTGTGTGAGTGTCATACCAGCAGTAGTCCAGCAGATGAGGTGGCAGCACTGGAATGAAGATGTGCTGCCAGTACATGGGGAAGAGCATCCCGTTACACGCGTGTACGCAGGCCGTGAGCTGAACACACACAACACTGAAGTTTTAATGTTTAATGAATGAAGTGTCCTGACTAGATCCAAGTGTCTAGCATCGAATGACTCTTCTACATTAAATTAAATAAATAACATCCACGGTCAATCTGAAGATTATATATTAATTGATTTTTGGAATATAAATAGAAACAAAACAATATGACAAAAACTGAGATTGTGTGTGTGTAGAGATATTCTTTGTGTCACGCCTGGTCAGGTGTTAAGGTGTTTTTGCACAAGGGTTTCTGATGAGGAACCAAGTCCATTTGCCCATTTTACAGTTTAGGGATGATGTTGAAAGCTGCACCAACATTAAAATCAGGCACACAGTTCGCAATCGCATGCGATTCCCAAATGGAAATCAAACAATCTGACATAATTTGTGGAAGATGACTTTTATAGCATAATCATAATGCACTTGAAATAGTGGACAGGATGCATGGACTACTTTTGTTTATGTTTAGTTGTTATTTAAATCAGTTTGAGAAAAGTGTCGCATTAAAATTCTTCGTTCTGTGGAAAAACAGCATCCAGTAAACGAAAATGAGTTCTGGGAATGTTTCCAAAAGTGTTGTTTTTAAATTTCTCTCAATGTTAGTAACATCTACTGTAGTTTTTATTAAATGTAAAAAAAAAAAAAAGAATGTGGTCATTCGAACGACGAGAACATTCCATTTTGGAAACATTATAGAAATGTTACTTTTGAATATTCTCAGAACAAAAACATAATGATATTAATAGAACTTTTTTCAGAAACATTCAAAAGTAACGTTTCTATAATGTTTTATAATGAAAACAGTTTTTCATTATATATTTAAAAAAAAAAAAAGAATGTGGTCATTCGAACGACGAGAACATTCCATTTTGGAAACATTATAGAAACGTTACTTTTGAATATTCTCAGAACAAAAACATTTATCATGGATATTAATAGAACTTTTTCCTGAAACATTTTAGTTTGTTAAGTGTTTTTTTTTTTAAATGCTCCATTATTTATTACTATGAATATCCATGATAAACATTTTTGTGTCAATTTTGAATAAATGTACTATTGTGTTACTGTAAGAACGTTTGTTCATAACTTTAATAAAGCCTTCCCAGAATGAGCCAAAGTCACATGACCTTTTACTGTTAGCTGGGGATAGCACTTGAAATAGTAGACAGGATGCATGGACTACTTTTGTTTATGTTTAGTTGTTATTTAAATCAGTTTGAGAAAAGAGTCGCAATAAAATTCTTTGAAATTATTCTTTTGCGTTCTGTGGAAAAACAGCTTCCAGCAAACGAAAATGAGTTCTGGGAATGTTTCCTAAAGCGTTGTTTTTAAATTTCTCTCAATGTTAGTAACATCTAGTTTTTATTAAATGTTTTAAAAAAAAAAGAATGCGGTCATTCGAACGACGAGAACATTCCATTTTGCAAACATTATTAGAAACGTTACTTTTGAAAATTCTCAGAACAAAAATATTTTTTAATGGATATTAATAGAACTTTTTTCAGAAACATTCAAAAGTAACGTTTCTATAATGTTTTATAATGAAAACAGTTTTTCATTATATATTTAAAAAAAAAAAGAATGTGGTCATTCGAACGACGAGAACATTCCATTTTGCAAACATTATTAGAAACGTTACTTTTGAAAATTCTCAGAACAAAAACATTTATCATGGATATTAATAGAACTTTTTCCTGAAACATTTTAGTTTGTTAAGTGTTTTTTTTTTAAATGCTCCATTATTTATTACTATGAATATCCATGATAAACATTTTTGTGTCAACTTTGAATAAATGTACTATTGTGTTACTGTAAGAACGTTTGTTCATAACTTTAATCAAGCCTTCCCAGAATGAGCCAAAGTCACATGACCTTTTACTGTTAGCTGGGGATAGCACTTGAAATAGTGGACAGGATGCATGGACTACTTTTGTTTATGTTTAATTGTTATTTAAATCAGTTTGAAAAAAAGAGTCGCAATAAAATTCTTTGAAATACTTCTTTTGCGTTCTGTGGAAAAACAGCATCCAGCAAACGAAAATGAGTTCTGGGAATGTTTCCAAAAGCGTTGTTTTTAATGTTCTCTCAATGTTAGTAACATCTAGTTTTTATTAAATGTTTTTTAAAAAAAAAGAATGCAGTCATTCGAACGACGAGAACATTCCATTTTGCAAACATTATTAGAAACGTTACTTTTGAATATTCTCAGAACAAAAATATTTTTTAATGGATATTAATAGAACTTTTTCAGAAACATTCAAAAGTAACGTTTCTATAATGTTTTATAATGAAAACAGTTTTTCATTATATATTTAAAAAAAAAAGAATGTGGTCATTCGAACGACAAGAATATTCCATTTTGGAAACATTATAGAAATGTTACTTTTGAAAATTCTCAGAACAAAAACATTTATCATGGATATTAATAGAACTTTTTCCTGAAACATTTTAGTTTGTTAAGTGTTTTTTTTTTAAATGCTCCATTATTTATTACTATGAATATCCATGATAAACATTTTTGTGTCAACTTTGAATAAATGTACTATTGTGTTACTGTAAGAACGTTTGTTCATAACTTTAATAAAGCCTTCCCAGAATGAGCCAAAGTCACATGACCTTTTACTGTTAGCTGGGGTGGGGATACAGGCTGGAACGACATGAGGGTGAAGGATGTTTTTCAGTGAACTATTCCTTTCATGCATTTTGGTATCCAAAGCGAATTACACGGCAGCATTCCCAGGGAACTAAACCCATGACCTTGAGTTGCGTCCCACAAACACTCTATGTACTTATGCACTCATCCGTGTAATGTGTTATTTTTTCATCACATCGAAGTCTGATGCCAAAAAGGCATTCAATAGTGCACAAGCACGTGACTTGAGACGCACCTTTGGTGTTCTAGCGCCATGCTCTTCTGTTTTCATGTTCGGCTTCAGTAGCCGAAGCGAATCAAGGCACAGGGCTGAACTCACCGTGCTGAGCTTACTGCAGTAAATGAGGATGCGTCTCTCGAACAACATGCTGGCGTACAGCTGGAGGAGATTCCCCACGTCCACCGCCACCACCAGCTCCGTCAGGTTCCTCTGATACACACACACACACGCTTATAAATCACCAGGCAGATCAAATCCTCGAATTATTGAAATCATAGAATTGAAACGATGGGGAAAAACTCACACTTTCTGGTATTGAGGGCAAGGCTTTGGGATCCGGCGCGATAAAGTACGGGATCTGAGGCAGAGGAACAATATTTCACAAAAGTGCATGGCCTTCGAGTTAGTCTGCCTCAAGGGTTTTAGGTTAGATGAACAAAGGTTTTTGTGATTAATTTTGAGTTTTAGTTAAGCATTGGTCTGTTTTGTGGTTAGTTTCAGACGCCGGATTAGGTCAATCTCGTATTATGGCATGCGTTAGGATTCATTAGACGCCGGAGTGAAGGTTTAGTCCGGTCGGCTCGTCGTACAGCGGGTCAGGGACTCACCCCCTCTGACTCCTCCCCTTTAGGGGCGTGTCCACAGATGCCAGGCATCTTGCTTCCGATCATTAGCTTTCCTCCCTCAGTGAAGAACAAACGACCCTGATTGTGATGTCACACGTGATGTCATAAACGGAACTTCCGGCAGCCAATCGGCACTTACCATCTGCAGCGTGATGGAGCCGTTCGCCGGCGGGACGGGGTGCTTGTAGAGGGCCGAGAGCAGATCTTTCATCTCGTTGGTCTGCCGGGGGGGTGCACATCAACAAAACGGCTTTAGACACGTTAACGCTCAAGTTTCGAATCGTTTGGAAAAAAATATCGGTTGGCTGCATTTGAAAATACAGTAAAACGGTAATATTGTGAAATGTTATTACCATTTAAAATAACTTTAAATTAAAATCATTTTCCACAATTTTAAGAAGCAAAAACTGTTTTCAACTTTGATACCATTATTAAACATTTAAAATTAATAATAATTTAGCTTCAAAACAGGATATTATTGCAGAAGAACAGAGTAACGATGCTGAAAATAAATGACACTAACATTTATTCATAGAAAACAGTTGTGATAATTTAATAATATTACTAATTTACTGAAGAGACTTTATCAAGATCTTCTTTAACCAGATTTGTCCGTGTAAACCTCACCTGTCCTTTAGACGAGTAGTCCGCTAGGTTATTCAGAAGTTTGTAGAAGACCTCAAACCATGGCAAATAACTGAGAGAGAGAGAAATCGCACTGCTAAGGCTGTTTATGTACTTATTATGAGTTCAAACTAAGAACTTAAAGGAGTAGTTCACTTTTTAAAAAAAAATTGCTGATAATTTACTCACCCCCATGTCATCCAAGATGTCCACGTCTTTCTTTCTTCAGTCGAAAAGAAATTAAGGTTTTTGATGAAAACATTCCAGGATTTTCTCCATATAATGGACTTCAATGGGGACCAAACAGTTCAAGATCCAAAAGACAGTTTCAGTGCAGCTTCAAAGGGCTTTAAACGATTCCAGACGATGAATAAGAGTCTTATCAAGCGAAACGATCGCTCATTTAATAAATAAATAACAAAGTTATTATAGTTTTATAGTTAACAAGTTTTATAAGCTCAAATGCTCGCCTTGATGCGCGTTCGTGACTCTCCTGTTCGAACTCGTTCATCAAAATGAACAAATCTTTTTTCGAGTCATGACTCAAAGGGTCCTAGATAAGACTCTTATTCATCGTCTGGAATCGTTTAAAGCCCTTTGAAGCTGCACTGAAACTCTCATTTGGACCTTGAACCGTTTGGACCCCATTGAAGTCCATTATATGGAGAAAATCCTGGAATGTTTTCATCAAAAACCTTCATTTCTTTTCCACTGAAGAAAGAAAGACGTGGACATCTTGGATGACATGGGGGTGAGTAAATTATCAGCAAAAAAGTCAGCAAAACTACTCCTTTAAAGCGGATCATAACTCTAACGTTCACCATTTATTGCAAATAAATGAATCTACCGAGACATGGATGTGTTTAGCAATGAGGATCAGACTGTTGAGCAGTGAAAGGGGTTGTTCTGTGTGAGACCTGAGGATGCAGAAGCAGGTCTGAGAGCTGGACGTGAGTCTGCAGAAGCCGAAGCGCTGACATCCCTCCAGATCCGTCAAGACGAATGCGAAGTGCTGCACGGCAACCGTGTCCTTCGCCCTGCCAATCGGACGGGGGGATCAGTCAGCAAAGGTCAAAAGACTGGCGTGTGCATTACTATATTCAATAATAATGAGTGATTTTCACCTCTCTATGTCATAAGGGAAGCAGAAGCGAGGCAAGGACTGCAGAGACTCCTGTGTGAGAAGACGTATTATTATTCAATATTCAATATTGACATGCAGTGTGAGAGATTTCTGAATGGAGACTGCAGTGGGTCATGAGGAGTGTGTGTTTGCAGAGGACTGTGCAGATCTGAGGACATTTTTGGACACAGACGGGGAGGCTAAATGTAAAATTACCCAGTAAGCCCGGTTTAGTTTTTTTTTTTATCTATCTTAATTTTTCTATTATTAGTGTAATCTCTATTATACTAATGTTAATAGTCTTTAAAATACTTTTCAGTTTAGAAAGGCTAAAACAATGACTAAGTATATATTGATATATATATATATATATATATATATATAGTAGCAGAGGTGAAAGTTTGTTACATTTTGAGAAACGAAAAAAGAAAGAAAAAAATCTTTAAAAATGTCATTAAAAAGTGGACTTGAACATGTAAGACATATAAAAAAAAAAGACTTGGAACATGTTTTAAGAAGTAAATAGGATAAATCCTGAAATTTTATCAATTATAAAATTGATGATATAGTTGCACAATATATGATTCAATTTTATGCATCCATCCATGCATTTATTTACGTATTTTTATTTATTTATGCAGCATTTTTTTATTAATTCTGTTTTCTTTTGATTATTTTAATTTCTTCCATGTAAAGCACTTTGAATTGCCACTGTGTATGAAATGTGCTATATAAATAAACTTGCCTTGCCTATTCATATTTGCCCAATTCTTAAAACTTAGCTTTTATATCAGTCATATTCACAGTGAGAGGTGCATTATTATTTATGCATTTATATTTTAGGCAGAGTTTTTTGTATGTAATATAATTTCCCTTTATTTAAAAACGTCGCTATTAAGTTATATTAATGTAAAATAAATAAATGAATAAAAACAACACTTTAGTTTAGGGTCCAATTCTCACTATAACTAGTTCTCCATTATATGCATATTACTAGGCTGTTTATTAGTACTCATAAAGCACATATTAATACAACCATAATCCACATCCCTTGATCCCAATACTTAACAACTACCTTACAAACTATTAATAAGCAGTTAATAGTGAGGCTTGCATCCTAGATAAATAAATAAGAGCCAAAGGAAAGAACCACAGTGATCACGAGGACTAACCTCATCATTAAAGTCTTCAGGGAACTGAAACAGCACACCAGGATCTACTCAAACAGAAAGAAAACACACACACACACACACACCAGTTAATTTCTCAACCCGAGGATGTGGTTAAAGTCAGTTATCCACAGAGTAACCAGACCTCATCTCTCTTTAATGACCCCATGAGCAAAGGACACACACTAACTAGTTCCCCTGCTTTTCTCTTTCTGATGAGAGTGTATCGGCCCGGGTGTGTGGTTTTTCTGGCTCGGTCATGTGACAGGAAGAGCCATTCTCAGAAAAGACAGGCTTCTGAGTGCATGTGTGTGTGTTTATTGCATCAGTGTGTGTGTGATACCCACCTTTATCTCTGGCGATTGGACACGAGGCTTGAAAGCACCAGTAGAACGTCTTATCAGGGTTTTTTCTGAGGACAACAAGATATAGTCATCATAACAAACCCACAGCAGAAAACATCACAGTCCTTAACTCGTCTCATCAACTCTTAATAAAGCTCGACGCGAGGAGCAGGATGTGGTCGACTGCTGAGTAGAAGCACATCGACAGAAAATACTTCTGACTGAGCATTTTAACCGGACTCGACTCATTAATTACAAAATCGCTCTTGAGAGAATGTTTAGATTTGTATGTATGACTTTTAATGGGAAATCAGCAACATTTGAGAAAAGCAATGTGACTTTCAACACCTGTGAGAAACTTCACTCGTCCACTGAAGAGTGCAAACACACCTATGGGTTTCCGACACCATGACACTTCAGCAACGGTGAAGAAAAGTGACGTACGTCATACAGAATTTATATAATGTTGTCTAATGTTTGAGTGTGGCTTGAAGCAGGTTTGAGGTCACTGTGTGTTTTCTTTTCGTAAGGCAGCTTGAAATGGAGGATGGACATCATCTCAGAGGAAACCTGTCCAAACGCTCCATCCGCAGACCTCGCCTGCTCGGGTTTATTCACTGAATCGCGTCCGAGAACGACAGAGCGAGGAAGAGGAAGTAAGCAGGAGACCGCAATGTGAGCGAGAACAGAGAGAAATCGAGAGGCAAACGGAGACAATCTTACTTTATCCTGGAGCCCATGATGCTCTTGTGTGTCGGGGCCCATTCGGGGGGATCAGGGGCCGTCAGCAGACCAAACTCATCAGATCCTCAGTTCACATGCAGCAACACACACACACACACACACTCTTCTGCACACACACATCCTCACATCAAACAGCCAATTCCGCCGACTAGCAACTAAACTCAAGACAGCACTTCCTGATCTCTCTCTCTCTGTGTGTGTGTGTGTGTGTGTGAGTGAGAGACCTGTGATGTTTGCTGGCCTATTGACTATAATATCCACTTTATAATCCCATATTCTCAATAATAACTATATTTTTGCCCTCTGGTAGATCGAGACTCATCTTTAGGTTGAATCACTGCAGAAAGCCTTTCATTTTACTTAGACTAGTAAGTGAGCATTTTGAAATAGTATCTGTAACATTGTATGCACTTTTTTATGTTAAATGTTAAGATTTTATTTTATAGTGTTATTCTTTATAAAAAGTAAATAAATTAATTAATTTTATATATATATATATATATATATATATATATATATATATATATATATATATATATATATATATTAGGGCTGTCAAACGCATCCAAAATAAAAGTTTGTGTTTACATAATATATGGGGGTGTACTGTGTATAATTATTTTGTATAAATATATATAAATACACACACACATATATATTTAAGAAAAATATATTATTTATATATAAAATATTTATATATAATAGAAATTTTATATAAATCTATATACAGTATACATGAAAATATTTCTTAAATATACAATATACAATCATGTGTGTGTATTTTTATAATAATTATACACAGTGCACCCACATATATTATGTAAACACAAACTTTTAATTTGGGTGCGATTAATCGCTTGACAGCCCTAATATATATATATATGCCTCTTGTGAATGTGTGTTTATTCATATTGGATAAACTCACACTTTCGTGATGGTTAAAAACACAAACACATGGAAGAGGAAATACAAGAATGGACTTCCTCTATTGTATGTCTACTGTTTTGCTCTCATCATTTCTCATGTTTGCTCTCTCTCTCTCTCTCTCTCTCTCTGTCTAACATATGGAAGGGCGATCAATATATATGGGCTGAGCAGATAGGTAACTTTGTGTGTTTGTGTGCGAGTAAGTGTGTCTGTGTAAATAGGACACTCTTCTGACAGTTCATTTGACTAATATTATCATTGCATTGACAAACATCCGAGTTCTTGGTACCAGTTCATTTGTGCAAACTGGCTCCCTCTAGTGTTCAGTGGAGGAACATGACAACTCGCTTTTGTAAACCGTAAAGAACTGGCTATGATTGCAATAACTGGTTAATGTACCAAGCCCGAACCTAACCTTAACCCGTGTAGTTTAGCAGTAGCCTAGCTTTCTCAGGTAAGTACGCTGTAGGTGCACGTAAGTTATTGTAAAATAAAGTGAAACCGTTATATTCCTAATAGTGACTTTATTTATGTTTAGTTGCGACTCAATTCCTTGTGATTGCGATTTTTTTTTTTTCACAATAGCCTTCCATATTTGTGGAAACCAGAAATCATTCAATCTAATCTAATATGCTGAAATAGGTCTTTTAACGCCATCTTGTCTCGTCTTTCAATTACAAATGAATCAGGTGAATGATAGGCTGTTTTCCAATGTAAAACGGCTACATTTGACCAAAAATAAGTCGTATACTTTTACTCATACAGCAGAACTTTCTATCAATTAACTTTCTGTCATTTAACATTTCTGTCGCGAACAGTTAAATATTAAATGTTTAGCCGCTTCTTACCTCAGCTCGCAATCTTTGACCGTTAACTGATCGCGCTTAAAATTAAAATTCGCACATTTCAAACCTGCAACAAATGATATTTTCCCGCCTCTGGCATTTGACCTTTTAATTTTATTTATTTTTTTTTTTTACATTTTTTTATACTTATTTTCATTCTCAACCCCGTAATATGGACCAAATCCAATTGGTTTGAAAAAGGTTTTAGAATTATTTTGCACAAAACGTTTTTGCTCATGTGTCCCTCATAACAATTGGAAAAACTACAAAACATTTATGATAATGTTCTCATTTTGATGGGACTCTATAGTTAAAAATAGACCAACTGTGTTTTTGTAAAAAAGAAACATAAGATGTTTAACTAAAACCACTATAGCCTTTAACATCAGGTGATGATCAGTAAGGAATGCCTTCATTTTTAATCTTCTTCCCTATTTTTCCCCAAAATAATTGGCAAGTTGAGAACAGCGTGATTGAGGTAGAAGTCTGTAACTGGTTTAAAGGGAGACACTGCCTTCAATTTTATTTTTAATTTATTCTCTCTCATATTCTACCCTATTGTACCTATATTGTATTCTATTTATAACAAAATTCGTTATTAGAGTTGTCATGTCAGAATATCTGTACTGGGACCATGACCTTTTTAAAAAAAAAAAAATATCAAAATATTCACAAATTAGTGAAAAACCCAACCCTGAAACAATGAGAAATATACAGATAGCCTAATATACAGGCTTTTTTTTTTTTTTTTGGCTCAAAATGGCCGCCCACTGCTCCTCATGTAGTTTAGGAGAGATCATTGATCACACATGGCATATGACTTATGGATTAAAATAACATTTTGAAAAATGCGGTTGACTTTTTAAACTCGACAGTACCCTTCCTATAATACACCTAAAAAATATTAAATGACTTACCATCTTTTGTGCCAGTGCCACTGTTAAAGAGCTGAATGATGTCATTTCTGGTAAACGTCACATGTTGATGGAGCCTAAATTATTGGCATGACAGAGGTTGAGTTTAGCCTGAGGGACATAACTTTATAGTCTGTTATTTATAAAATATCTTGGATTTTTTTTTTAGAAAATAACAAATAAATACAATATTGTCAAAAAATATAGACACTGTGCACATTTTCAATATTTTCTAAGTCCAAATGCAGTGAAGTGCCTCAAGGACATGTACAATAGAATAACATTATGATAAATTATTGAAATGCAATCATTTTTTACTCATACCAAATTAAGGAAAGCTTTTAACATTTGATGATGGTGAACCGCCTCTTTACAAATTCTGGGGGAGTTAAATAAAACTAATTTACCTACTAATAAAATCATAATGACATTGGTACATTTATTTCAAGAACATTTGTTCTGTTAAGTCACACAGGACAATTAGTTTCAGTTTTGTCATGTCTTTATTCAGTGAATCCATGGTCATTTTAACAAAATGAGGAAAGGGCTAGAATCACAGAAGAGTTAGAATCACACAAGAATTTGAGTGGATTTCCTTTGCTTAACAAAACTGGACCGAGACATTTAATACTCAACATTATTGGATATCCGACTGGACTAACGCAGAGCTGGACGATGAATTTTCAATTTTGTTTGCAGAACTGCTTAAAAGACGAACTTAACTAATTTCATAATTGATGATCTTTAAAACGAAACTGAATCAACACCGAACCGACTCATCTGAGCTGAACAACAGCCGGAATGCATCATTTTATTTACCGTTTATTACTATAAAGCTGCTTTGAAAACGAACCGTATTGGATAAAGCGCTATATAAATAATATAAATAAAGGTGATGAGACTTGACTTGGCGGACAAGATGGCGATCAGGCGGCCTCTTCTTCACCCTCCTCCTCGAACTCTCCCTCCTCGGCAGTGGCTTCCTGGTACTGCTGGTACTCGGACACCAGGTCGTTCATGTTGCTCTCGGCCTCTGTGAACTCCATCTCGTCCATTCCCTCGCCGGTGTACCAGTGCAGGAAAGCCTTGCGGCGAAACATGGCAGTGAACTGCTCGGAAATGCGCTTAAACAGCTCCTGGATGGCAGTGCTGTTACCGATAAAGGTTCCCGACATCTTGAGCCCACGTGGCGGGATGTCGCAAACCGCCGTCTTCACATTGTTTGGGATCCACTCCACAAAGTAGCTGCTGTTCTTGTTCTGGATGTTCAGCATCTGCTCGTCTACCTCCTTCATGGACATGCGTCCGCGGAAAACGACGGCCACGGTTAGGTAGCGTCCGTGGCGCGGGTCGCACGCTGCCATCATGTTCTTGGCGTCGAACATCTGCTGGGTGAGCTCGGGAACGGAGAGCGCGCGGTACTGCTGGCTCCCCCTGCTGGTGAGAGGAGCGAAGCCGGGCATGAAGAAGTGGAGGCGGGGGAAGGGCACCATGTTGACCGCCAGTTTACGAAGATCGGCGTTCAACTGTCCGGGGAACCTCAGGCAGGTGGTGACGCCGCTCATTGTGGCCGAGACGAGGTGGTTAAGATCGCCGTACGTGGGCGTGGTAAGTTTAAGCGTGCGGAAGCAGATGTCGTACAACGCTTCGTTGTCGATACAATAGGTCTCGTCTGTGTTCTCAACCAGCTGGTGGACGGACAGCGTGGCGTTGTAGGGCTCCACGACTGTGTCCGACACTTTGGGAGACGGCACCACGCTGAAGGTGTTCATGATGCGGTCGGGATACTCCTCGCGGATCTTGCTGATGAGAAGCGTTCCCATGCCGGAGCCGGTTCCTCCTCCGAGCGAGTGTGTGAGCTGGAAACCCTGCAGGCAGTCGCAGCTCTCAGCTTCCTTGCGAACCACGTCCATCACCGAGTCCACCAGTTCGGCGCCCTCCGTGTAATGACCCTTAGCCCAGTTATTACCCGCTCCGCTCTGACCTACAGTACGAGCAGGACACAAAATCAAAGTTGTTAAGTGGTTAGTTCACCTAAAAATGACAATTCGGTCTACTTTTACACACCCTTATGCTATTCCAAACCTATTAGCCTTTTATTAATTTTATATGATGCAAAGATTGAAGATGCTTTTATTCACATGTAGATATTGATCAGCGAACATAAACAGAAGCTCAAATGAAGCGGCTTGAAGTGTGAAAAACACACCTCTTGCAGAAGCTCAAACGTAATGCGCAACACATGAGAATGAACCTCATACTTCCTGAAACTCAATCGTGAAGCGCAACGAGAATTGATCCCATTGTTTTTTTCAGAAGCTCAAATGTGATGCGCAACATGCGAGAATGAACCTCATTGGTTCTTGCTAAAGCTCAATCATGATATGAAGAGTTCAGATGCAAAAGCCTCCAAGTGCCATTTGAAATTTTCTCCTAGAATGGTCATTTTTATCAAGCTTGTATATTTAAGTTCAGTAATTTCACTTAAATGATAATTAATAGGTAATCTTCATTGCAATTTAAGTGAAATTACTGAACTTAAATATACAAGCTTGATAAAAATGATCATTCTAGAAGAAAATTTCAAATGGCACTTAGAGGCTTTTGAATCTGAACTCTTCATATGTAACACAAGAAAGAACCTCATTGGTTCTTGCCAAACTCAAACGTGATGCGTGACACGCGAGAATTAACCTTACAAGTTCTTACTGAACTAAAAAGTGATGCGTAACCCGAAAATGAACCTCAATGGTTCTTGCTGATCTCAAAAGTGATGCGTATTACGCGAGAATGAACCTCATTGGTCAAACGTGATGCGCAACACTGGGGAATGAACCTCATTGGTTCGTAACATGCGAGAATGAACCTCATTGGTTCTTGCTGAACTCAAACGTGATGCGTAACACGCGAGAATGAACCTCATTGGTTCTTGCTGAACTCAAACGTGATGCGCAACACTGGGGAATGAACCTCATTGGTTCTTGCTGAACTCAAACGTGATGCGCAACACGCGAGAATGAACCTCATTGGTTCTTGCTGAACTCAAACATGATACGCAACACGCGAGAATGAACCTCATTGGTTCTTGATGAACTCAAATGTGATGCGCAACACAAGAATTAATTTCATTGGTTCTTTCAGAATCTCAAATGTGATGCGCAACACGTGAGAATGCACGTGAAGCAAACATGCTTGATCTTCTGTTTACCAGAACTGCTGTGAGTTGATCAATGTTGAAATATGTGAATAAAAGCCTAAATTCAATCATGCTAGTGAAATCCATACCGGTAGGAGCAGTGCAGAAAATGCTATAAACAGGTAATTTTGTAGTATGTTCATTCTAATGTTAAATTAGCCTGTCAGTAGGCACTAATTAGCATAATACAATAGAAATGTATAAACCATAATAGAAATAAGAAAAACTCAAATTAAATCAAATACATATAAAAATAAACATTATCGTTTACAAGGCCATTAGTAGTATGTGATTTTTGTGTGTTGTTCCAAATCTGTATGATATTCTTTCTTATGCAGAATGTTCAAGATGTTTGCATGCAAAGACATAAGAGCGGAGGGTGTTTATATACCAAAAACAAAGTTGTCAGGTCTGAATATCTGCCCAAAAGGCCCGGAGCGAACCGAGTCCATGGTTCCCGGCTCGAGATCCACAAGGATGGCACGAGGGACATACTTTCCCCCTGAGAAAACAGACAACCAAAGAATGCACCTCAATAAGGACGTAAGTTGTTTGTAAGAAGAAGAAGTAGTTATGGTTAATTGTAATAAAATAAAACATTTAGTATTAAGATGGGAGTGTTCTGTGATATTCAAGGGCCCTTAAATGGGTCAATATAGGAATCAGACATTTGACATGTGCTTACCAGAGGCTTCGTTGTAGTAAACACTGATGCGGTCTAGCTGCAGGTCACTGTCTCCATGATAGCTGCCGGTGGGGTCAATGCCGTGTTCGTCACTGATCACCTCCCAGAACTGAGCCAAATAAAAAAATGGAAGCCATGAAGAATCACTGAAGCCCAGGGATACTGGTCCCACTGGGAAGTGGTCTTAAAAATGACATCGCATAAGGTATCAAGTCAAAAGTTAAATAAATGCATGCTTTATACAGCATGTCGGTTATACACATCCTCTTGAATATGCAATATAATATTGGTCCAGTATAATTTTTTGCAATATCTGTTGTGAACATTAGAACCACACTACATTAGGATATGAGGCGGTATATGACTGTACTAAACTGTTACAAATGCATAGAATTGACTATGATATTTGCTGGCCAAATCAATGGGTTTATAAGATTGAACATTATCTTTTAAATATTTGTTCATTCATTGTTTCGTTACATAATTGTTGTACTGTATAGTTCCTCTGTTGAGTTGACTGTAACGTTTCATTATTGAGCAATACGATAGAAAACGCCCCTTTGTGGTCAACGTTTTGAAATATGACTATAAAAAAATGACACTAATAAATATCCAGAGTATAACCTGCACTCTTTAATATTGCATTTAGAGCTAATTTGACGGAAATAGGCTAATTTCACAGAAAAACAAGAACGAAGAGCATCCCCATCCCCCTCCGCCGTGAACATTGCCAGACGTCTAGCATCGCCTACTACGCCATTGAAATGTTACGTTACTGCATTGAAAGAAAACACGACGGAAATATGTTATTTTATTATGTCTATCAAACATGTCGTTATAATTAAAATGCTTATTAATCGTGTAATGTTTTGGATGATGATTGTGAGGCGAGTTAAAGCGCGAACCAGCCGCCACACCCCTCTCGCGCACCCGGCGAGACATACGCACCAAACAAATACGACACAACGAAAAACGCATCGATGGCTTTTATTGCAGACAATAAAAGCCATCGACTTCCGTAACCTTCAGAAACCTGCTACAAAGACTGTAAATGAAATGGTTGATTAGTAGCAGCGCAAATCGTTATATTTTAAAGATATGAAAGGGCCTATGAAACATAGAAGTGAATGAAAATGATTATTTTTCGTGTTGTACCTTCGCTCCGATCTGATTCCCGCACTGGCCCGCCTGAAGATGCACTATTTCACGCATGTTGACTTGAAAGATGTGAAAATAATGTGTAAATCTGTTGAATCTCGATGGCCCGTTCTCACACCCTCTTCGGATTATGTCTCACTCAGACTAGTGCGTAGTGCGCGCTCCCGTCAGCCTGAATCCAACCGGCAGTCCGTGTTGCCAGATTGGGTCGAATATATCCACCCTTAAATCTCAACAAAGCCCGCCCAATATACAAAAACCCGCCCAAATCATTAACTGCCAAAAACAATGCGATAGCATTTTATTGCCATGTCATTCAAGGTTGATTCTTTAAAACAAAATAATGATGACAAGAATGGAAATAAACAAGCGAAACAGATAAACAGGGCAAATGCATTAGCAAATATGACTATATGTCTTTGTCTAAACGGCAATAAATCAAGGATTTAACAAATTGCTTAATCATTGGAAAAACAATTTTCAATGTCAGTAATAGTAAGAATAAGTCAATTTATATTAAAAAGTGCACATTATAAGTGAAAAAAATGCAATAAATAAATAAATAAAATAATGTGTCATTCAAATTGTACAATAATCCAATAATAATGCAATTAATTTTGTGTAGCACTTAAACATCGGACAGAACTAATTTCATGAAGTAGAACAAACTGCAGAACTTTGCACCATCAAAACTCGTGCTTAGCATATGCTATAATCCCATAATCAGTTTTGATTCTGATTGAATCATTCAATTGTGCTCTGATTTCAGATTATTACAAATATAATTTACAAAAGCCTTTGAGTCATCACCTCCCAAAGGTTTGTTTTGGGTTTCCTATTCTTATAGTGCAATTTAGGCCTATGCCACTTGGTTTTGTGATTTCTTGAATATATGCTGGGCAACTACAAATCAAAAATCTGACCCTTTATCGCTCTAAAACCCTGTCACTCATGAGACACAAGTATCACCAACATCAAAGACGGCAAACTGATTGACAGGTCTCTCTTACCGGCCCAAACAGTTGTGTTAAGAAAAAAAAATGGACACTATTTTTCTGTGATAATTTCTTTATTGTACATGTGGTCGAACTTGAAACACATTAAAATAGCATTTCTAAACAAAATCTAAGAATAAGAAAAAAAAATCTTTGGACAATGCCTTTTTTATGGTCCAATCCGAACAAAAGAAGCCCAATTGGGAGGATACCAGTCCAATCTGGCAACACTTGCAACAGTGCTGCATTATGACGTGATCATCTCCATGACAACAGAGCGGATAAGATGGTCCAGCATTCCCTCATCTTTCTCTAGAGAGGCCGTGTGTAGTCTTAGCTGAGTCATTCTCTGAGCCTTTTGTGTCACCGATAAAGAAAACAATCTTAATGCCTTAAAATATTGAACAATAGCGATTTGAAAGCTGTCTTAATCACAGATAACACCATATGAACTTATCAATTGTATCAAGTTGATTAAATAAAAATTATAATTTGAGCCATTTTACACTATTCCCCCCCCCCCCCCTTTGAATCCCAATTTCATAATAAAATACAACACTTATAGAATAGGCTACATGTATTGTGCAACGGAGAGTCAATTCGTAATGACGCAATCGTTAGCCTATTTTTTTTTTTATTTTTTTTTTTTTACAAAAAAATGCTTCTACAGGGCCATGACGTATACGATACAAGGTAATGGAGCATTTTATACATTGTCTTGTTTCTTTAGAAATTATTAACATTATTTAATATTGTTTCTTAACTCTTATTAACATTAGGTGTCACCACTAATGGCCAATCATCACTTAATTAATCACTTATCTATCTCATTGACTTCAACACTGTTATTTTTAACGCCCTGTAGTTGGACCTATATGTAAACGTGTTCACTGTGGATCTCATTTGTATATCCCATTGCATTAAAATATTGTCCTTACCTTTATGTTAAAGGTGTTATATAATATGTGGATTCTGATTTCTCAGCTGTCAAATGTCTGTAACATTGACATTTCTTTTTTGTTTCATCATCCTCTGTCAAATTCAATGCATTCAGCGAATATTTAATACAATTCCTGGGCGGGCTTTCAGAAGAAGGTTTGTCACAAGAAGATTTATCAGAAGACTTTGTTCTTCAACATTTACTACAAGTTACGCCCCCTTCCAGTTATGCCCCTCTCTTGTGATTGGTTCACGCAGATATTCCGCTACTACGCCATAGCTTCGTGCAGTTCCTAGTTACCATCCAATAGCATGCAAGTAGTCTCTGCACTGGCTTTGCAGAAGCACTGCATTATTTAATAAAAGGCTTCAGTATTCGTAGAAAATGGGGTTTAAACGACAAATTATGATTAGAATCAAACCTGAATAAGACGTTACAAAGAGATGAGAGACTTTACGAGTGAGTTTATAATTTATTTTAATCATCTGTTTTCCATATAATTATTCAAATTTAATCAAAAATGAACAGAAATGAACAGTTATATTACATATTGTGTACAAATCGTTAAGTTAACTGTAATGGTCCAAAGGTTCCAAGAAAGTTCTCTGGAGTTAAATATTAGTGAGGTGAAAGAGTTGTGTTGTGGGCGGTTTTCGTTCATCAAACACATTATTGCTAAAGCTCAAAAAGACTTTACTTCCTCAGGCAACGTAAAAAGTACCGGATCAAACATCAGCTCCTTTTTCTGTTCTACTCCTCTATCATCGAGTCCATCATCACATCATCAATCACAGTATGGTATGGTAGCACAGATAGCAAAACAAAGAAAAAACTACAGCAGATTGACGACAAAGCATCCAAGATCATTGGAAAAACACTGCCCTCAGTCGATTCCCTCTATACATGACAGCCAGATGAACAAATAGAAAAGGTAATCTGATGGCGTTGGCTATGTTATAACATAATCATTATTTCACAATCGGATGACCTGAATCACTGAACTCAAGTAACCTGATCTATGATTAGAATGTATATTGGTCATTAGAGAATCAAAGTGATTCAACTGTAAATTCCAGGTCATTCAATATAATCTAAATTATTTTTAAAAGTTGTTCTGATAAAAAAAAAGAATGTTTCTTTTAGGCACACACAGACATATAGTTTCAGTGTATGAATCTCAACAATGGTGACAAAACTAATATTGCGATTAGGAAAAGAAGATTCCTAAGACAATTCAGATCATTGTTTATTCATATCGCAATATATAATGGGAGCTATGAATGAGTTTTGATTAGTTGCACCCAGAATGCATGCATGTTGCAAAACTTTAAAAATTAAAGTTAAACATATAAACTGCCCAACTAAACCAAACACTGATCTCCACAATGGTGACTAAAATAGATTTTTCTTCTTCAGTGAGAAGAAGCTTGTTTGCTTGTTATCACCAGGGGCCTCTTTTATAAAACTCTGCATATGATTTGCGTCAGAATTGGCATACGGACGTGCGTACGCACAGAAATATTCAGATTTATAACGCACATCCTACGCATTTTTCCCTTAATAAATCACAATCAATTCTCAACTCAACTCAACTCAACTTTATTTATAGAGCACTTTCAAGACCACAAGTGGAACCAAAGTGCTGTACAAAATGAATAAAATAGAAAGTAAAATAAAGAAATAAAAAACAATACAAACACATGACATAAAAAAACTTACAAAGGATTATCAAATGCTAAAGAATATTCTAAATATAGCGCAGCTTTTGCGGATTCATGTCACGCCCATAGTTGCCCATAAATAGTCCGTGAAACGCCCACAAGCTAATATTCATCGATTGCGAAATCATGGCAAACACAGAGAGGGAATAAAAAAAACGTAACTTCACTCAATGTGAAGTAGAAATTATCGTTGGCGAAGTGGAAAAGAGGAGAAAAATGTTGTTTGGACCAAAAAGGTACATGAGTAGCAAAAGTTTGCAGACGCCGTAAATGCTGTAGCCTCACAACCTCGGACTGTGGCCGAAAAATAAAAAAAGAAATGGTCGGACATCAAAGTCGAGGCAAAAAAGTGTCTAGTCATTAATTCAATCAGAGAGGTGGAGTTGTGCGAAATCAAGACTGTCCTAACTGAAATAAACTGCACAATGAAGGAATTCTTGACTAAATAATATATTTTTTACACAAGATGATGCGTTCACTCCGAATCCTTCCATTTGCAACATCTTCTAAGAGCGCAAGATCAGCCATTGTGCGTCATTACGCATTGTGATGGGGCATTTTATTTCCATCCATTTAATTGCATCTGACAAACTACAGATGTCGGTTATAATCTACTTGGAAATGGGAAATAGTTCAGCGCAAATGTAATTTCTTGCAGCTTTCCGAATGGTTGAGACATCTGTCATACGTTATTTTATCAAAAATAAAACAAACTAAAGGCATATGCATGAATACCATGATTCCGTAGCTGATGAAGACATTTTTTCTATGAAAACAACAATACATCTATCTATTTATCTATCTACCTATCTATCTATCTATATATATATATATATATATATATATCTCCTTAATTATCTATCTATCTGACTGACTATCTAATTGCATCTATATCTGCTCCGCCAGACGGACACATTGGCGAGAATATCAGTTTTGTACATTATTCGTTCTGTTTACCAACTTATTTATGAGGATGAATTGTAACATGCCAATATTATTGCAGAACATATTTCACCTTTCTTTTTGGAAATATGTGTTAATTTGCATTTCTGTTGCAGATCGATCAAACGGGTTTTCGTGTAGGCTATTAATTGTAAGACTTGCTTTGTGAAGTCTTCGTGTTATTATGTGAGGCAGTATTGCCATTTATTTTACACAACCGTGTTTTTTCCAACTGCCAACAGTGTCGCAAATTTAACGCTCTTGAATTTTACGTTCCCAGAACCAACACTCAAATTTTAACACTTTAACACTCTTGAGTTTTTGCTATGTAGTAACATTCTAAAACTGGACATGTTCATTTTCTTGGAATGTTAGAAATTAACAGTCCTATCATGTTGAATTTTTCAATTAAAAAAAATACATTTTAAAGGAAGTTTGAGGAACATTATACCTTTTAAAACACGTTCCTCCAACGTCAAGAAAACTGGACATTTTTCACGTTCCCAGAACTAACATAAAAACATTCTGATATCATTCCAATTTATAATAAAAAAAATTGTAGATCTAGTAAGTGTTGAACACCACCCAAAGTCTTATGCTGTAAATATAATAAAAGATAAAAAAAAGTTTAACTTCAGCAAAAGTCATGTATGAGGGCATCGAAGTGAGGAGATGGGGTGGTGGAGGGATAACGAACGGAGGTAAACTTGCTGTACACCGATTAACTTATTGACTGGCTTAATTAACAGAGTGTGCTCCACTCGTGTCTAATTAGGTTTGAATATCTGAATGTGCTCCACATGTGTTGTTTAATTAGGTTTGATTATCTGAACGTGCTCCTTCCGAAAATAGTTCAATTTCTTCTTTCTATGATAGTCTTGAATCTGCTAGTCTCGCATGACTCTATACTGCCATCTACTGTTCTGGTGTGAACAACAGAGAAACATATGTGTGTGTCTATTATTGCCTTCTAATGAATACACAGTATATGAATTTGTGATGTGTGTTTGTTTGCATGACTGTAGCTCTTGTGTGTGTGTGTGTGTGTGTGTGTGTGTGGGCGCTGGCATAAGTGCATGCCGTATTTATGTGTGTGTTGTGTTCACATAATGATGAGATGATGTTGTCCGTCGCTCAGATGCTGATTTACTCCCACATGTGAAAACAAAGAGAGTGTTTCTACACACACAGATGAAAGTTTAACACCAGCTCGACACACAGACGCTCCTCGGACACTGTAAGTACTGAAAAATTTCCACTGAAATCGTTCAGAATAATTTCTTTGAATATATACTTGTAATAGTTGTTTTTGTAATCAGAAAATAGTTTAGTAACACGAACTAACAATCAAAAATACGTCTAAACGTGTTTTTTTATATATATATCTTAGTTAATGTAAATTTCAACATTTACTAATGCACTATTCTCAAATCAAAAGTTGTAACGGTGTTAACATGCAAACATTAATAAATAATATATTTAGCTAATGTGCCCATTGCTAGTTAATGCATTAACTAAAACTAACTAATGGAACCTAATTGTACCAAAGTAGTACCAGTTTCTCGTCTTAACCGAAATTCAGAGCAAAAATGTTAGTGATTACATTGTTTGTAATACTGTATAAATGAATAAAGCATACTTTAATTCCATCTAAAGTGTTATATTTATATATTATTAAGGGAGGCTCATAAAACTCTTTTCCAAACCTAGCGTATGTAAATAAATCTCCTGTATTTTTAGCTATTGTCTTTTACAGAGTGAATCAATCATCCGACATGGCGAACACGAGTCTTCAGGTGATGGGTCTGGTGCTGGGCATCGCGGGCTGGGGTTTCGGTGTCCTGGTTTGTGCCGCCCCCTGGTGGCGTGTGTCTGCGTTCGTGGGGGACGAGCTGGTGGTGTCGCAGGTGCTGTCGGAGGGGCTGTGGATGACGTGTCTGTCGGAGCGGGGCCGACTGCAGTGTAAAGTCTACGACTCGGGCCTCGCGCTCTCAGGCTCCGCCCAGATGTGCCGCGGCCTGTGCGTGTTGTCGCTGTTCCTGTGTCTGCTAGCGGTCCCGCTCAGCGTAACCGGGCTGAAGTGCACGCGGGGCCTCGGCGACGCTCACGAAGCCAAGGCTCGGATGGCGCAGGTCGGCGCGGTGCTTTTCCTCCTGGCTGCGTTTTTATTCCTAGTGCCGGTTTGCTGGACCGCGCACACCGTGATTCGGGATTTCTACGACCCGAGTGTCGCCGCACCGCTCAAACGTGAACTCGGACCTGCGCTCTACCTGGGATGGGGCGTGACCGCGCTGATGCTGGTGGGCGGGGCTGTGCTATATTTAGGCTCCGCCTCCCCTGGAGCGCCAGCCATTCCTGTTTTTGGACAAGGAGGAAAAGCAAACCCTCCCTCCACTGCTGAGAGCAAACCGGAGAAAGTATTTGTGTAAAAGGCGACATCGTCGCATAAAAGGTTTAATCTTCAGAAGTTCATGTCATTCAAAAACTGTATGTGGTTATTATTCAAACCGGAGAAGTTCATCGTGTAAAAGGAGCAAAAAAAGACGTTAACGTAAGAAAACTGTCCTAATGGTCGCATGTAAGGTTTAATCGGTTACAGTTTATTTGGTAACACTTTATTTTACGGTGTCATTTTTATGGTAATAACTATTAAAGGAGTAGTTCACTTTAAAAAAAAAAAACAACTTTTGCTGATAATTTACTCACCCCCATGTCATCCAAGATGTTCATGTCTTTCTTTCTTCAGTCGAAAAGAAATTAAGGGTTTTGATGAAAACATTCCAGGATTTTCTCCATATAATGGACTTCAATGGGAACCAAATGGTTCAAGGTCCAAATGAGAGTTTCAGTACAAACTGTTCAAAGGGCTTTAAACGATTCCAGACGATGAATAAGGGTCTTATCAAGCCAAACGATTGATCATTTAATAAATAAATAACGCATCATGTCATTCAAAAACTGTATGCGGTTATGGTTTTCTGTCGAAAATGGCGATTTTTGCATCAACTTTATGCAGGTCCTTTGATTTAACTCTTTATTATCCATTCTCATGGACTTTTTTTCTCCCAAAATGACGTTTTCGTTTTAACGACATTTTCATTTAGACAGTCCAATTAAGAAATCCGACTCTGTCCACTGAATATACATTTCAAATCACAATTCATAAAGCTTTTAGCAATAATGTTGATTATTCTAATTAATCTTTTAACTTCAGCTCTGTACTGTTTACTCTTTTTGTTGTTTTAGTCTCACATATATATTTTTTTTCCAATGCTCAGTATAATTAATGATTATATCTCATGTGATTTATTTATTTGTCTAATAAACCTAATGTGATAATATGGACTGACTATGTGCACATGTGTGTTGACAACATGCGTTGGCAGAAAATCACACAACACAATGGCAGAATACAGGACGGGACAATAAACAGAGTGTCCACTGTGAGCCGATGATGTCATCGCAGTGGAGGACTCGTGAACTCCTTCAGAAACAACACGAGAGGAGAAGGAATTCATAAACATCAGTCCTCCAGAGACACGAATCTCATTTCAAACCCTTGATGGTTTAAGGGGGAACGTTATTAATAAGGAGGGATTTATAGGCCCACCGAAGTGCCCTCAAACGTGGCCGTTATTTTGTTGTGTTAATGTAATTTCCCCTGAAACAGGAAGAAGGGGCGGGACTTATTGAGCAGCTCCTAGCCATTAGCATGAGCTGTTGAGCTCAGTAAAGCCGCTGTTTTCTCAGAATCTCTAACCTTTTCTCCTCATAATCTCATCTATATCACTTTAAAATAAATTCTGTGTTGAATTCAAATGGATCCGATATGTTTTATGGTGTTATTCGCTCTATGTGTCGTGTCTCTGGAGCTGCGGCGGTTCACGTAACGCTAACGTGAAACCGAACTTCATTCGCCCCAATGGAAAGCATATTTACACTGTCTGAATCGTTCCCTATCCCCTATATAGTGCACTATGGGCCATTCACCGTGTAGAAAATAGTAATGTGTGTACATCTGACTGATTTTAGCTGTAGGGGGCGGATTTATAGTGTAGGGGGCGGAGCTTCCGATTCTGGAGCACACTAGCTTAGCACATTAGCTTGTTTCCACCACAGAATAAAACATTTTAAAAGATGATTGTGACTTTTTAATCTCACAGTGGTGTTTACATCTTACAATTCTGACTTTTTGTCTATGAATTTTGAGCTTTTAAATCATGTAATTCTGACTTTATATCTCGCAATTGTGCATTAAAAGACATAAACATGCAATTCTGAGGGGAAAAGACAGAATTGTGAGATAAGAAGGTGCAATTACCCGTTTTATTTTGTATTCTGTGGCAGAAACAAGCTTAGAAAACCGCAGATAACAGGAAGAGTAACACATTAAATGCCAAAGAAACGTTTTGATTTCATGAGGACTTTAATGATGAGCTTTCAGCCACAGTAGTTGAAGTACTGCAAATGTCCACACGATGACAGTCACGTGCAAGTACAAATCAACCTTACACTAATTTTTTTTTTCAACAGAAATTAACTATTATTTTTTCTATTCAGTATTTATTCCTAGTTTCTCGTTGTCTTTGATTTAGATTTTCCCTTGACACAAGCACAAAAAGAGTATAAAGGTCTCAGTTAAATATTAATAATTATATTAAATTATTGACTAGTTTATGGATATCTCATATATTGTGTGCATGGTTTCGCCTCCTGAAAAGCAAAGCTTGGGTTTCTGATGGTAACAAATCCCTTAGGCAATAATAATAATAATGACAGATGATAAATATGGTATTAGGCCTACATAATGAATCTATATTTTATCTAGAGATAGTCATTGATTCAGACAGCCATTCACATCTCCAAAACAAATGTAGATTTTTTTTCTTGTTGCATTACAGTCACATATTGGTCTTTTATTTCAATGCTCAGTATAACTTAATGATAATATCTCATGTAATTTATGTATTGATGTTTATAAAATATAATTTATTTACTTTTATTTAATTTTTAGACAGACTATAGATATTATACAGTAGGCCTACATTCAGTCAGTCAGTCAGTCATGTCTCCAGAACAAACGTTTAGCTACTGGCCAACTAAACATTTGACACCACAGTATTGTGCCAATGCAGTGTCTCCACCCCCTCTTAAAGTTGCGTGTGAATGAGTAAGTGTCTCGTCTTAAAGTGACGGTGCAGTTAATCCCCAGTCCCTACGTCATTTCAGCGCGTACTGTCCCTTTAAGAGTCCAGCCCTCGTTCCCAAATGAACACCTAACACTCGGATGGATGTTTTTTATATCTCTTTTTGTGCGTTTGTAATGTGTGTGTGCCAGTAGGAGGTTCTGGCGCACCGGGAGGCCGTTCCAGATTCCTCGCGAGCAATTGGCTGCTCGTGAACTTTGCAACGCTTTGTTTGTCCGCGCGCCCCGGTCACGCACGCCACGCACTCGGCATGTCTCGAGCACATCGGAAACATCACCGTTCCGCTCTTAACCTCGCGGAAGATTAGCGAGATCAGCCACGCACGCAGCAACGCGCAGCTCAGGACGCGTCGCGTGCAACCACACCGAGAGAAGCGAAGCTAACGGGGACCGGAGAGATGGCGGAGAAACGCATGTCGCGCTGGTATTTCGGTGGGATCGCGTCGTGTGGAGCCGCTTGCTGCACGCACCCGCTGGACCTGATCAAGGTGAGTGTGTGTGTGTGCGCGCGCAGGTAGAATGACAGATTATTGGTCCAATCTTCACCCCCAGAGGAAGACAACAACGCTCGAGCACATGACCTGTGTGTGTGTGTGTGTGTGTGTGTGTGTGTGTTTCTTTGAACAGAAAACTGTGTATAGTTCCCCATTTTGATAATTGATAGTTAAAGTTAAACATATCGACCGATGATAACACGAATCATAAAATATTAAGCTATTTTAACTCTATTATCCTAATTTTGCTGATCTGTTCTAATATCTGCCAACATGTCATTTGAAGTCAGAAAATATTTGGTCATTTTAAATACTTTTATTCCAGATGTGGACAGCCTTGTTAAATTTTAATGTTTTTTTGTTTGTTTGTTTAGCCTAATTTGGATAATATTTGGCCATTTTAATTCTATGGACACAATAGACTTGTAGTGTTTCAGATCCAAAAAAACGCCTTTTTCCAATTGGACTGAACATTTTATATGCAATACATCATAATATTTGGTCACTTTAGCTTTTCCCCAAATCTCCTGACAGCATTGTTCAGTTATGAATATTTCACGACTGTAATATTTGTCCAGTTTAACAATCTCAGACTAACTTAGTCGAATTGTAATTACATTTTACATCCAATAAATCGTATAGTATCTGGCCATATTAACACCATTAAATGCTTATCTATAACAAAAACGACCGAAAACCTAGATGTTTCATCTGATAAATCAGTTAATATTTGACCATTTTAATAACATATCAACATAATAATCCTTTAAATAATTTTAAATCTACTGACAACCTTGTCAAATTATATGTTTCCGGTCTAATTTTGTGTAAAATGATCGTTGGTTTGATTTATTATTATTTTATCGAAGCAATTTTGTTCTTTTTAAAGTTTTAAAGGAAAAGCATTTAAATGAATTCTAGAAATATAATGAATAAATTGATCCTGCACTTCAGATGTTAAATGACAGGCAGATGTCAATAGCTCTGATTTGGGATCAGTTTATTGGCCTCGTGAGATGTCATGTGTGACTAACCCAATAAAGTGTGTTGCGATTTTTGTGTGTGTGTGTGCGTAATCACATTATAACAGTATGGAGGTCAGTGCGACTCCTAAACACTTCCTGACTGAAGGACACAGCGGTGTTGTAGATGACACACACACACTCGGGTTTCTCTGTTATAGCCCACAGTAGTCGGTTGTTGTAATTGATGTGTTGATAATAATAGAGTTGTGTGTGAGTGTGTGTTAATTGTTTTCCACCTGCTCAGTGCGGGTGGTGTTTCAGGATCAGCGCTCCGTGTGCTGAGTAATGCTGCTGTATGGGACAGGAAGTGTTCACATCAGCATCAGGATACAAGTGTGTGTGTGTGAGGGAGAGAGAGAGTGAGAGAGAGTATGTGTGTGTGTGAGAGAGAAAGAGAGAGAAATAGTGAGTGTGTGAGAGAGAGTGAGCGAGCGAGCACCAGAGTGAGATTAAGTGTGTGAGAGAGAGCGAGAAGCGCAAGTGTGTGTGTGTGTTCATTCATGCGTGCTTTTGTCCAGATTCCTCTGGAGTCGCACATGTGAGATCAACACATGTCTGCCATCTGTGTCCAGTTGAGTCCAGCTTGCTTTGATTATCTTGTCTTGCTTTGACCTTCAGTGTGTGTGTGTGTGTGTGTGTGTGTGTGTGCTCCATGAGAAGTTTTACTGTGTGTTTTTTCATCAGAGAGATTGACAAAGGAAAGTATCAGATGGCTGGAAAGCACTGGCAATGAATGAATTGAATGAGAGTGTATAGTGTGTGTGTGTAGAGGTCGGAGTGTGTGTCGAGTGTGTGAGTCCGTCATCTTTCAGTCTCAGATCTGAGGTGTGTTTTAAGAGATAACCGGCTGAGTGAGCTCAGATTGTCGGCTATTCACTAAAACCAAACAAACGCCACAGATAAGTGCAGCTTAACACACACACACACACACACACACACACACACTGCCTGAAGTTGTGAGTTCAGAAGTGGTGCTTGACCCGGTTACCCTTCAGACTGCGTGTTTAAAGAGAGACAGCGAGACCCTCGTGAGTCCAATCTGTGCGTGACCTTTGACCTTTATAAATCATCTGCAAACGCTTTCGTTCGTTAACATTCATTAGTAACATGAACTAACAGTGAAAAACACTTATTGACATTTATTAGTAAATGATTAAAATCAGAAGCTGAATCTGATGATGTTTGATGATGATTATACAGCTGTATTTATTTATATGAACTGTGATTAATAAATACCGTCCGTAACGCACGAATTGCTCGTTGTTAATGTGAACTAATGGAGTCGTATAAGGTTTCACGTAGAGCGAGACCGATATATCGGCCGATATTAGGCGTTTTCTAAAATATCGGTATCGGCAGTTATAATGGCCGGTAAATGAATATTTAAAAAATAAAATAAAAACGAACTAAACACGCTTGAACGATGTCACGAGTGTTGGAGTTGTATAGTTTGTCCACCAGAGGGCGCTCTACACTCGTTGAGTTGGTCACGATACACACATTGCTTGAATAACAATTAAAAGATCATCCGCATCAGTTCTCTAAACTCAAATAAGCATGACACAATTGTGACTATCATGTCCAGTTTCAAATAAATAAATAAATAAAATATCGGCCGATATATCGGATTTTAAAACCCTAAAATATTTGTATCGTATCGGCCTTCAAAATCCTTTATCCTTTATATATTTATGCGAATATGGTCAAAACTGAGGATACAAGTTGCAAACACATTTCTGTAAGTCATCTTCTTGATATTGTAATATTTCCGCACTATATGTTCAGTCTCGAGTTTATTAAACTGTGTGTACAATAACACAGAACATCTCCTTTGAATTGAATGATATGTGAAAGTTAATGTTGGCCACTGTTCAAACCATCCTACAGTGCACTAGGGTGTGTGTTTAGGGTGTGTGAGAGAGGTTTTGTTACAACATGTTGTGTGCTGTGTGTGCAGATCTTTATAATGCTTGACTGAGAAAATTGTTGCACATTTTACACACTTGAGCTCGACTCTGTATAACATGAACTGTGTCTATTTGGATAGATAATATTTACTACACACACACTATATATATGTATTCGCATAGGGTATTAAAATATGTTTGTATTGTGTGTGTGCTTTTTGTTTTGTGTTTTGTATCTGTGTCAGAAATGATGATGATGATGATGTCGTTGAACAGGTGCACCTGCAGACGCAGCAGGAGGTGAGGATGAGGATGGTTGGCATGGCGATGCACGTGGTGAAGAGCGACGGTGTGCTGGCGCTCTACAACGGCCTCAGCGCGTCCCTCTGCAGACAGGTCAGACCCCGTTCATATCCCGCAGGGGATTCTGGGAAAACTTAACGTGTGTTTTCCGTTAGAGAGATGTAAGATCAAAGAGCTTGAGTCGTGAAGAAGCGAACACGCTTGAATTCACTTCGTTTATTGAAAATACGTCTTGAATGCTGTAAAACAGAGTTTCCGCGGAGTCTTAAAAAGTCTACAATTTCAAAATCACAATTTAAGGCCTTAAAAAGTCTTAAATTTGACAGATTAAAAAAAATTGAGTTATAAACGTTGACGCAGCAGAACAATAGTGAGGACGTTATCTTCACCACCATCACCATCATCATCATCAAACCGAAACTAAGTTATGAAGGTTCACCGTGACACTGCGGAAAGCCTGAACAATAGTGAGGAAGTTATCTTTAAAGAAATGCCGTGTAATATTCCCCACAATGACACTTGACACTTTTTTTCAAACAATTAATAGTCTAAGTGTGTTTCAGATACAGATCTGGCAGATAACATCAGTGTCGTGGTGTTTTAGTGCTGTGTGTGAAGGAGAACAATAGGTGTAACACACAAGCTGTGTTTGCGAGAAGCATTAGTCAACCGTTATGATCCTGTCGAGCAGCTCTGTGTGTGTGTGTGTGTGTGTGTGTGTGTGTCCATGAAACTCGAGATCTTCTGTTTACAGTGTGAAATCTCTCATGCTTAAGTGTTAGTGTTTACAGGCGAAACATGGTTAAGATCTTCTTACACAGAAGAGGATGAATTGATGTGTGTGTGTGTGTGTGTGTGTGTGTGTGTGCAGATGTCGTATTCTCTCACGCGGTTCGCCATCTACGAGACGGTGCGAGACATGATGGGCAGCGGCAGTCAGGGACCCATGCCCTTCTATCAGAAAGTCCTGCTGGGGGCGTTTGGAGGTGAACACACACACACACACACACACACACACACTACCTCACGATGAGACGCGCAGTGCAACACAGATCGTAAGATTTAGAGGAAGTACGTAAAGCTTTATTTATCTAGCAACCTTTTAAAACCGTCTTTACAAAGTATTTTACAGAAGAGAAATAAACACGCACACAATTAAGGCGAGACACGGCAGGCAAAAACATCGTTTTTTTTTTTTTTTTTTTACTGGTCAATTTTGAGATTTTGCGATCTTCAATAACATGTCTTTCAGACTTGTGGTGAAAAAAAGTCTGAAATACACATTTAGGTCTTTATTTTACTACACTTTGTTTGTTTGCGTCTGTAGATTTCTCATAAATTCTTCAAAATTTGTCGTTATAAATCATCCTGGTGCTCAGCGACGCGATCTGCACCCTGTCATCACACACCACGTTAGAAAGCTCTCTTTCTCCTGTACAACGCTGTCGGATCCAAATATGGTCATTTCCTTTTTATCACCAACCAATGAAAGTAAAAGGGGTGGATTTAACTCTAAATGCGCGATCTCATTGGCTGATGCTAATCTTCAAAGCCAGTTTTCTCAAAATGACTTTTCTCTCAAACTCCAAGTCCGAAATCTCCACTTCAGTAGCACCTATATACACCAAACTTTCCAGTCTTGTACCTAGTTATATCATTAAGACATTTACAGAGGGATTTGTAAATACATTATTCCTAGCCTGATTTATATAACAGTTTATTCCAAAAAAACATGGCGAAAATCATTTTTTTTAAGGCTACTGACGGTATATTCTGATTTACAGGATAACAAAAGTAGATATACATAAATCCCTCCGAAAAAAGAATTTTGAACCTGGCTTTATCCAACACTCGGATTTCGTTTTTTTACAAATATATGCAAATTAGTGCATATTTAAGCCTCATTTGCATATTCAAACATTAAATTACAGAAAACTTGTAATATATTTTTTTCTCATCTTAATGTAGGGAATCAACTGGGAAAGTTTCATGGTAGGGCTGGGTAATAAATATCGATTTCTCGATATTAATCGATTCTCATTTTTACGAACCGATATCAATTCTTAAATCTCAAGAATCGATTAGTCATCCTGTTTCATTTGAATGAATGGATCATTGTATCGCGGCTGCGCAGGTTGTCCTTTGTTACTATTGATATGAAACAAAGTCTCAATTTTCAAATTACGTCCATTTTCTTTAGAAATTCAAAAACGTAAATAACATTTTGGCACATTTTGATCTCTCTTCCGGCTTAATAATACCAGTCACAGCGCGAAATAAACATGAATGAGCATCTGAAAGTGTGTTAAAAGAGAGTACAACTTATCGAAATCCGTATCATGTCACATTGATTCAATATTGAATCGAATCGAAATCGAATCGAATTGCAAGCTTGTGAATCGAAATCGAATCGAATTGTGAAATTTATGTTAATACCCAGCACTATTTCATGGTGATATCTGCTAGTTAAAAAAATTAGCCTATTCACCTGTAGTGTCTCGCCTTAATAATGAGACGGTGATAAAATAAAATGAAACAACAATTTTAGCCGTGTTTGTTGGTCCACTGTATGTTTGGAGCGATCTTACTGGAGTACTTTTACTCAATCAAGTGGAAACTCTGGAGAGGTGTATTAGGGCTTTTCCATGAACTAACCCGAGGATGTTGGACTCGGCTCGGAGGAAGTGAAGTGTGTAGATGTAACGGATGCCTGGTCAGGAGAGGGGAGGACGGCACGTACTGTGGAGATGATAATAAACAGAGGTCATGTCAATCATAAGTTCTTGGCCTGATTATTGGCTGTTAGTGGTCGAGAGTGAAGATAAGCAGCAATAGATGTTCGTCATCACTGATAACAAGGACCCCTGTAATCTGTGTTTGGCTGAAGTTCTGAGATGTTATGCTCTCTAATCTCTGCAGGACATTAAACACCGCACACTTATTGAGAACACAAGATGTTCGGTCGCTGTACATTGTAGTTTATGTTGATTTTAGGAGGCAGTGCTTAGAAATGGAGGATAAGAGCTTGGCTGATGACCTTAACCTTCTTCCTACCCTCGCACTCGCGGGGCAAAATTACCTGAAGCCCCCCCCCCCCCCCCCCCCAAAAAAAAAATAAATAAATGAATAAATAAAAATTAAAAAAAAAAAATATATATATATATATATATATATATTTATATATATATATTTATTTATATTTATTTATTATTAAATTTATATATATAATTATTTTGTGTGATTTTTATTTTATTTTAAGTGATTTTTTTTGATAATACTTTTCTATTTTCTAATGCATTTTTTTTTTTTTTTACCTTTTAAATTACTAGATTTGGTCAATAAATAAATAATGATTTAAGCACATTCCTCACATTCTTTCAACAATTTTAAATAACTCACAATTTCATGCCTAACCCTTTCAATTCAGCTCAGAATATCTTACAGTGGGTGTTTGTCGACCTCTTGTGGGATAATAATAATATAGCATGATATATCATCATGACTTTTGCCACTAGATCTTTTCTTCAGTTTGCTTTCAGATACACATGTAGACATTAAAGTTTAAACCTTTTTAGTCTGTATTTTGAGCAATTTTAGGTTTTTCTATGTGTACTGAAGTATTCCTCGTGCTCAATTCATTCCTAGGGGGTCAAATAACTAATAAAAATGACAAATACTAAATTAAAATAAATTTTTTTTTGTTTATTTTTTTTACATATATTTAATTTTCTAATTAATATTTATTTCATTTCAAGTACAAAAATATTTATTTTCAGTTAACGATCATAACCCTGATGCGTATATAAATCAGATAAACGGTGTGTGTTCCTCTGCAGGGTTCACCGGCGGCTTCATCGGGACTCCGGCAGACATGGTGAACGTTCGGTGTGTATCGTGCGGGTTGTGTTACGGGTGGGATGTTTGATTATTGGTGATTATTTCATGCTGTTTATGTCCTCAGGATGCAGAACGATGTGAAGCTTCCTGCAGAGCAGAGGAGAAAGTGAGTGTGTCTCCATCTAGAAACCCGACAGTCATAATGTGATTTACTTTCATCATGTGTGTGTGTGTCGCAGCTATAAACACGCGCTGGACGGACTCTTCAGGGTCTGGCGGGAAGGTAAAGCACACTTCTGCATCTCTGACTGTCATTACCCTCTGTACATGTCTGAATGTGTCTCTCTAAACATGTTTCTGTCAGAGGGAACCAGGAAGCTGTTCTCAGGAGCCACTATGGCGTCCAGCAGAGGAGCGCTGGTCACCGTCGGACAGGTGAGGAAGCAGTGCATGATGGGAGCATATCAAATATCAAATCATATAATACATACTGTAGGATTGAGATTTACTGCTAAATAAGTGTATAATCCTCATCCTTCCCTCAGGTCAAAATCATAAAGTCAAAAATATGAAGATGTTAAAAAAAATCAGTTCAAAATCCCCTGACTTTTGCCGCATTTTTTTTTTTTGTAATGGATCGAGGAGTTTTGTGATTGAAATTTAAAAAAAGGGTCAAATCCTGCCGTCACGGGTCAATTTGACCCCCATAGGAATGAATGGAGGGCAAGGAATGCTTCAGTACACATAGAAAAACCTAAAAATGCTCAAAATTCCAACTAAAAATGCTAAAACTTTACCAAAAAATGATATTATAATGTCCACATGACATAGAAAAACCTAAAAATGCTCAAAATTCCAACTAAAAATGCTAAAACTTTACCAAAAAATGATATTATAATGTCTACATGACATAGAAAAACCTAAAAATGCTCAAAATTCAAACTAAAAATGCTAAAACTTTACCAAAAAATGATATTATAATGTCTACATGACATAGAAAAACCTAAAAATGCTCAAAATTCAAACTAAAAATGCTAAAACTTTACCAAAAAATAATATTATAATGTCTACATGATGTATCTGTATGCATACTAAGTGACTAAACGGCTCATTTGATCCATATAGATCTAGAGTCGCATCTATTGGCAAGAGTCATGATATATTATAATTTTTCCACAAGAGGTCAGCAAATACACCCAATGCAAGATATTATGAGCTGAATTAAAAGGTTTAGGCATTAAATTGTGAGTTATTTAAAATTTAAGTTGAAAGAATGAATGTGAGGAATGTGCTTAAATTACTATTTATTTAATATTTATGTGATCCAATCTAGTAATTCAAAGGTAAAATATAAAATAACCAAAAAATCTCCCAAAAAATAATTTTGCTTTCTGGACAACAAAAATAAATAAAAAAATAAATAGGGCTTCGGGTCATTTTGACCTGCGAGGGAAGAATGAGGACATGTAGCCGTCTATGATGCTGAACTTCTGTGTGTGTGTGTGTGTGTGTGTGTGTGTCAGCTGGCATGTTACGATCAGGCCAAGCAGCTGGTGTTGGGCACAGGACTCATGGGAGACAACATACTCACACACTTCCTGTCCAGCTTCATCGCTGTGAGTACTGGAGCCTCTGATTGGTCAATCATAGGATATTTTTGATAACAGTATTAGTTATATTTACTTGTAGAAGTGTAATTGTTTTATTTTTAACTCTTTCCCACCATTGTTGGAAATTCCCGTGTTACCACTGTTATACGGTAGGGGGCGCTATTACACATCTTCTAAAAGAGTACTGAATATCCTGATCAAAACACATGTGAAAAAGCAGAAACATGTGATCTCATATGCTAGCAGAGGAAAATGTATAATAACGTGATCATTAACATTAAACCGCATATAAATCAAAACGTCCTAATGTTACTGAACGAAACGTTGACCCAGGACGAGCTCGATCGACTGCATCTGTGTTTAGATCATCGTCCTGAATCAGATCTGGATGGATGCTGGCGGGGAAAGAGTTAATGATGAGACACTTTGACCATGTTTTGCTTTAGTGTGTGTTTTCTTTAATTGCTAATGCACATTTCTACACACACACGTTTGAGCTAAACTGGTATTATCTAATACTGTAGTTAACTTTATCAGCAGACAGATATTCAACATGTGAGAGTTATTAAATCAGTCGATATTTCACTGGTTTGTTCTGTTCTTCTATTGCGAATAAACTGTGATAATGTTAGAAATGTTGAAGGTGTGTGTGAGTAAATGTTGGTTTGACTGCACACACACACACACACATAACTGTTTCCGTCATCTTTCTCTCAGGGAGGTTGTGCGACGTTCCTCTGCCAGCCGCTGGACGTCATAAAGACCAGATTAATGAACTCCAAAGGAGAATACAGAGTGAGTGTCTCTCTCTCAATCTCTCTCTCTCTAATAATTTGCTTTATTAGCATGACTGTGTAACACAATGTTGCCAAAGCATCAACATATTATATATAAATAATAAAACAAACAAGTAAAACATGCGTATAAGGCCGTGTGTCCACCAAAGCGTTTTTAGCCTGCTGAAAACGCCAGGGCGCTTGAGAGCGTTTTGGCGTTTTTTTTCCGTTGAGACTTTTGGTTGCTATGATACGGAATATCCGCGGCACAGTTTACTTGTAACTGATTTCGCAGATAATTTGTTTCATACTAAAAAAATTATTTTTCACACATTTTGTTGGGTTAGCTCT